CATGACGACATATCCTGGAATTTGAACCATCACATGTAGCTTGGTTTTAGACCCTGAAAACCATAGGCTACAATGTCACTTTTGACTACTTCGCCCGGGGCCACATAAGCACCACGCCGGAGACGGACACCGGGATATATTGTGCAACCAGCGCCGACGTAACAGTCCTCCTCAATAGTGACGGGGCGGCCTTGGTAGCGACTTTGAGAGCCCTTCCGTTCTTGCATGTTTGCATGGGCCATTGAACTGAGAATAGTGACTCGAGGACCTATCCATGTATGAGCACCGATAGTGATAGGGCAGTCATCCACGAAGAGACAGTTCTCTGATATCATAACGTCCTCACCAATGTGAATGTTGAACCCATAGTGGCATTGAAAAGGTGACTCAACAACAGCGCCTTGCCCAATAGATCCGGCGGGTCTCAGTGGTCCCACGCTCGATGGAGAACCAACAACCGAACCAGGAGGAATCAGAACCTCCTTCAGCAGGCGATTCTGTTCCTTCGCGCTCAAGCCCGAAACAGGATTACACGCATTGTTGAACCGCCAGATGGCCGCTTTGCATCGCTCGCGCTCCTCCACAAGATGAATATCGAAAGGGCGATAGAGCTCGCCGCGAATCATCTTGTCCTTCTCCGATTCTTCACTCACGGTGCGATTGGACAGCTGATGCTCAATGCTAAGAGCCATCCGAGCCTGTGCCTGCGGGCTGTTCGTGTCCACGGTGCCAGTATGTGCCGGCCGCTGATCAATGCCACCTTGAAAGATGGACAGCCCCGGTTTTTGATGTGATCCGTGTGATATGTCTCTAATCGACGGAACAATCTGATAGTCGCCTTTCGCGTGTCCCTCGCGCGATAGTTCATGTATCGGTGGGACCTCTCTATAGTCAGACTTGGTCACATGCTCAGGTATAAACGTAGCATGGCCAGCATTAGACCAACTCCGTTTAGACCAGGGCCCACGAGCCGAATTGGCTCCTGTCGGGCTTGCATTGAACTGCCCAGCGACACGATCGTTCTCATCGGGAACGATTGCCCTCATTTTTCCCGCCTCAAGTTGTTCCGCCAGTGTTTGCTGTCGCTCATGCTGTTGGCTCAAGTCATGCACATACTGCGCCCCTAAATCTGGGTAGCCCTCTTTTGATTGCAATGGAACCGGAGTTTTCGCGCTTGAGGGTTTCTGCCACGTGCTTCGGGACGAATAACCTTCACAGAGGAAACCACCTCTGAGACAATTGTTGCCTGTGAAAAATGTTGAGCGACCATGGCAAAAAGAACAAAAAAATTCCATTTTCCATGAGAAGAGTCGCAAAGAATAACTTACACGCAGGATGCTGCTCGTCGCATTTCTTTTTCCTTCTGCGACAAGTCATGCAGCCAGTTTTAGTTCGGTTGCTGAAGACGCGCTTTCGCTTAGGGGCGACTTGTATAGCCGCTTGTGGCTGTTCTTGTGAAAAAATATGTAACGACTCTTTGGTTTGCGCAGATCCCTCTGTGGAGCGATTCGTCGCACTCCAGCTCTTCTGCTGTAAGCTTTGTCCATCATGATCCTGGGACTCGCGCTGGAGTACCTCCGCCAACTGAGCATCTGAGGGGTCAATCTGTTGTGCGCGCTGTGCCTGTTGTACTAGATGTGAATCATAGTCATTCAATGAAGCATTTGCTGAGGCGGATCGTGAATCTTCATTTCTGTCCGATTGAGCGATTGATGGTGATGGATGCTTGAGATCATGAGGGCCAGGGGGTGACATAGCAATGCTCACAGCAAGCTGTTGGGTGTGAGACTCCACAGCGGCATCTGACCGTATGGCTGGACTTTGAGAGCCTTTAGAAGATGATGAGAGAAGTTCTTGACGCTCATCAATTTCTGATCTCTTCCTCTTGTTTGCACTTTGTCCTCCTGACAATGAGCCACTATGGGACGTGGAACGCTGCGTCGATCGTTCGTCCGGGTGAATTTCGGCGTTTCCATTGTCTCTAACGCGTTCTTCCGTTCGAGATGGAGTGTCGGGTTCGACCCTGCCTTGATTATTCTGTATGGCTTCGTTGCTAGATGAGTCGGCCGCAGTAGGGCCAACGGACATTGGCGCTGTGATTTCCCTTCCATTTACCGCAGTAAACCGATGAGGACTTTGGTTCTCCAACTTGGACCTCTTCTCGGGTGCGTGACCATTGGTCACTGAAGTGGACGCCATCGTGCTCATTCTCAAAGGACAGGCGAAGCTGTAGTGTCAAGATGACGCGCACTCTCGCTCCGCGGATCCTTTCAGTCTCCCTGATGGAACTATGATGTTTTGACAGATCGAATCTTAACCTGGAGGACCGTTCTTGATGCCTTATATCTATTTCGCATCGACTAGTGAGTATAGTAGCCCGAAATCACGAGAAGGGTGGGGAGACAAACAGCTGAAGTTCACTGCAATAAGTCGTTCGGAGCCAAATCGATTCAATTAGACGTTGTGAGCGTTGTCGCTGCACTAACAAATCACTTGCGGTATTGGAGATACTAGTTGAATAATCATACCAGGTTAAACAATGTATAAGACAGGAGATTGGATGAGTTGTTGGGTGGTGGGAGGGAATACAGGAAGAAGGTTGAAATTGCTTGGTTTCTTTCAACGACAGCGCGCAATGAATGATGGCCAATATATAGAGAAAGAAAGTGTTATTGGTCAGGCATTCGGAAGAGGACAACCGCCCGCATGAAAATCGCAATATCAATATTCGTATGGGTGAGGAAAACGAGTATGTTCTGGGTTGAGAGCTAGAATCCTAGTAGCGAGGGCAGAATGATGCGCAATGAGGGGTCAAATAGGATAAATAATAGTAGTATAGAGCAGCCTGGAGACCAATACCAACCACCTTAGACAGAGGATGGCGCAAATCAATCATAAATCATTGGAATCGGACGACTATAGTTGAGTGATCTGACAAGACCAGTAGTCTATATATATATAAGGGACAATATGCCTAGGCACTAATCATCACAATGAAGATATAACCTTGAAAATTCAGTGACCGTGGAATAGGGAAGCTTGAAGATACTCATGAAAGGCATAGGGAAGGAGGAATAGAAGATGCATGTATCTAAGGTTTAGATGACACGCAAAGACTATTATAATAGACTATCATAAAATTATTAGCACGAAATGGTAATATGGAGCACAGAGTAGGGGCAAAGAATTACAACTAAACTACAGAGTACAAATTCAGAATGGGTATTGAGCTAAGATACATTTAGGTATCAGATGTTGATCAGACACCCGAGTACTCCGTACATCTCTCTCAATTATGGAGTGGGTAGATAGATCACTGTATATAGGCAATCACTATCTAGCTACTCTGTATTTAATTTGCACTCATGACTCTGTGATAAAACCTCTACATGACCGCTTGTATCCACCTACTTAGCTCAGACTCCCTAACTGGGCTACTTTGACTGCCAATTGAAGTAAAGGCAATATCAGTACTATACATATCTAGAAATGCCAAGTCTCTGAAGGTAACCACTGATCAGTCTATAATGTGTAGGAGAAATTGAGTTTCATAGCACAGTGGACCACATCATAGACACCCCCTTGGTTATGTTTTTCCTGTTCGTCATGTAATGCATATTTACGTCTCTATATACTTGTACACTGCAAGAGTACCTGTGCTGCATATCTACTAACTTATCCAACCACTTATGTACAGATAGTTATATTTAATAAAGGGGCGAAATAATAAGGTACACATATAAGCACTCATACATGCACCTTAGTAATTATCATAGGATAAGAGCAGATATTATCTACCTAAAGAGAGTGTGCCCCCTCCAATCCAACCAACCTGCCCGTGCATGCTTATATAACTAGAGAGTATCCAGTTTTCTTTCTGTAGCAGTCTTTATACTTAGTCTTTATACTTGGACTGTACTATGATTTACTCTTAACTAGCATCATATCTATATGTTTATGCGTATGAGGTCTAATTGCCATAGTCTTAATTGCTATTGACTTCATGCCGTCCATAAGATACCCATAGGCAATCTACATGAGCTCGTTGAAGTCTCACGATATTACTGATTGGGCTCGCTGTATGTCTGGCGGCAACCTTTCCTGAGAAAGATTGGCCATTGTTAGAAACCAAGGATTCTAGTTGTCTCTTTGTGGTGTTTGGCTGCATCAAATGGGCGAAACCCAGCCCTTGGGCGGCAATTCCACTATAGTTAGTAAGTACCTGATCATCTAAATCGTAACTCAAGTATTGTAACAGCAGCATAGGGGCCAGAAATCAGTCTCGGGAATGGCAGTTATTGCTATCCGAAGACAATATGATATGTTCGGATATTATTATGTGACAAGAGGTCTAAGTATCGATATAAGACCAATATTCCGCCCAATACGCAAGAGAACCAAATATCGAGGATATAATCTTCAAACATAGTTGTTACGTGTTTTCATCATATATATTCGCTCCATATATGACTGCCAATGTAGTTAATCCGTTACTGAGACTTCTACTGGCAAGCCACCAGGAAGTAGAAGAAAAGCTGGGGAGCTAAGAGGTACTGTCGGTAATAATGAGTGATCCTTGGTAACCGACTAACAAGCCAATTAGTAAGCAATTTTGATAGTTGATGCATCACACCAACCTGACATTCGCAACAGGAGTAAGGTAGTCTCTCTTCACCGCCAATAATTGACCCTCATATGCTTTCATCTATACCTACAATTACATCAAGCATCAAGCCCCGCTGAACTTGTCTGTTTCTGGGATCCCTGTCAACTCATTCTTTGCAACCAAGAGCTTCCTTTGAATTCCCTAACCTTTAGCCAACCCCTCCAAAAGAGCCTCAACCCCGCCAAACCTCTTGTTCGCCTGATCAACATCCCGAAAACCTGTACTAACCAGCGCCTATCAGTGCCTAGCAAGGCTTCTCGGTGCATAGTACGCGTCTAGCACGTGTATCAGAGGTGAAGCTAGAACGGACAGGGTTGTCGGTCCTTGAGACAGGATGTCTGTTTCCATACAAGAATTGGACAACACTGTCCGGGCCTTCTACGAGGGCAAAGGGGATTTGGTGAGGCACCATAATGATTCCGGCCAATATGTACGATTTGCTTCTAGAGCTTGGATTGCTAACTTCACAATGCGACTTTCCGTTCAGCAAAAGCAAGCCCAGCAGACTCTAACAGAAGTGAGTATCCCCAAACCCCAAGACTCAGTGCAAGGTAACTGACTTGCTTCGACAATCAGTTCAAACAAAACCCGGACGCTTGGTTGATCGTGGGTAATATACTCCAAGAATCATCGTATCTGCAAACAAAGTGTAAGGAAATATCTCCCGTGTTCTTCTTCTATGTGCTTCACTCGATACATTGCATGCTGACCATGCTAGACCTGGCGCTGCAGGTTCTTGACGATGTGATTATGACCAGATGGAAAGTTCTACCAAGAGAGCAATGTCTCGGTAAGCAGCAGGAGTCGCATGTTCTTTTGTCAGCTCCCGACTAAGACCACTAACTCAGGCATACGAAATTTCATCGTCAACTTCATTATCGAAAACTCCAAGTCAGAAGAAAAGCTCAGGAGTGAACGCGCATTTTTGAATAAGCTCAACCTGGTCCTCGTTTCTATCCTGAAGCAAGAGTGGCCTCACAATTGGCCGACTTTCATCAATGAAATAATCTCGTCTTGTCATACGAGTCTCTCTATCTGCGAAAACAACATGGCCATCCTTCGCTTGTTATCAGAGGAAGTATTTGACTTCTCGCAGGATCAGATGACTTCTATCAAGGCCAGAAATCTCAAGACTTCCATGACACAGGAATTCTCATCCATCTTCCAGTTGTGCTCTGAAGTTTTGAATACAGCAAACCAGCCGAGTCTGATCAAAGCCACATTAGAGACTCTCCTTCGATTCCTGAATTGGATACCCCTGGGATACATATTTGAGACCCCCATCATCAACACCCTCTTAACTCGTTTCCTGGACGTTCCCGACTTCCGGAATGTGACATTGAAGTGTCTCACCGAGATTGGGGGACTGCAAATCGGCAACCCTTACAATTACGATGAAAGATTGGTTCAAATGTTCACTGAGACATTGACCATAGTCTCGAAGACCATTCCACTCTCCATGGATTTAAAACAGACATACGCCAAAAGCAATTCGAGGGATCAGGAGTTCGTCCTCAACTTAGCGCTGTTCCTCTCCAGCTTTTTCAGCGCTCATCTAAATGTAAGTGTTGCAAAATAGTCTTGAGAGTGGATGTTGACAAGAATACTGACCACCGTGCTCAGCTCATTGAGAAGTTACCGAATCGGGACTATCTCACTCATGCCCATTTTTACCTTATCCGTATCAGTCAGATCGACGACAGAGAGGTCTTCAAAATTTGTCTGGAGTACTGGACGAGACTAGTGCAGGAGCTGTACGAGGAGATGCAACAACTTCCAATCACAGATATCAATCCTTTGGTTAGTATGGGTGTTAGTGGGTTGTCAAACGGAGGGGCACCGCACCCTAGCACCCTTGCCAATTATCCCCTTCGCAAGCATAAGTACGAGGAGGTCCTGTCAAACCTTCGCACTGTGATGATCGAGAAAATGGTCAGGCCAGAAGAAGTCTTGATTGTTGAAAACGACGAGGGCGAAATTGTTCGCGAATTCGTCAAAGAAAGCGACACGATTCAGCTCTATAAGACAATACGGGAATGTTTGGTCTATCTGACACATCTTGACGTCGTTGATACCGAAAATATCATGATCGAGAAGTTGGCTAAACAGGTGGACGGGTCTGAGTGGTCATGGGCTAATTGCAATACTCTATGTTGGGCAATTGGGTCAATCTCGGGGCCATGAATGAGGAGACGGAGAAGCGCTTCCTTGTCACTGTGATCAAGGACCTTCTGGGTCTCACGGAAATGAAGCGAGGAAAAGACAACAAAGCGGTCGTCGCCAGTAACATTATGTATATTGTAGGGCAGTATCCGCGTTTCTTGAAGGCCCATTGGAAATTCCTGAAGACGGTCGTCAACAAACTGTTTGAATTTATGCACGAAACACATGAAGGTCAGTTACGCATGCTGATTTCCAGTGGCTCTCTTTCTGACACACACCAGGTGTCCAAGACATGGCGTGCGATACATTTATCAAGATTGCAAACAAGTGCAGACGCCATTTTGTCGCCCTTCAGCCTGGGGAGAACGAGCCATTTATCGAGGAGATTGTTCGAAACATGAGAAAGATCACCTGTGACCTTTCACCACAACAAGTTCACACTTTCTACGAAGCGTGCGGCTATATGATTTCTGCCCAAGGCCAGAAAAGCCTCCAGGATCGTTTGATTGAGAACTTGATGTCCCTTCCCAACTCGGCGTGGGATGCTATTATAGCCCAGGCGAATCAAGACCCGTCCATACTCCAGGATGGAGAAACGATAAAGATCATCGGCAACATTATGAAGACGAATGTTGCAGCATGTTCCTCGATTGGCACTTACTTTTATTCCCAGATTGGTCGCATCTACCATGATATGCTGAACATGTATCGGGCTTCCAGTCAACTCATTAACGATGCTGTTGCGCACGATGGTAAATACGCTTGTGACTCTTGCTGTATTTTTGTCTTCATTGTCTAACGTCGAACAGGCAACATCGCCACCAAGACCCCGAAAGTCCGAGGGCTTCGGACCATCAAAAAGGAGATTCTTAAGCTAATCGATACCTATGTGCAGAAAGCTGATGATCTGGAGATGGTCAACGCTAACATGGTTCCACCTCTTCTGGAGGCTGTTCTGGTGGACTATAACCGAAATGTTCCCGACGCGCGGGAAGCAGAGGTGCTGAACGTCATGACCACAATCGTTCATAAATTACATGTATGTAACATTCCCGGGCAAGCATCGCTTTTGAAAATGTTATGGGATCTGACTTACCTCACCAGAGCCTTATGGAAGACAAGGTTCCTTTAATCATGGAGAGCGTGTTCGAATGCACCCTCGAGATGATCAACAAAGACTTCCACGAGTATCCAGAGCACCGTGTGCAGTTCTTTAAATTGCTCCAAGCGATCAATCTATACTGTTTCCCGGCGCTACTCAAACTTGATGCCACGCAATTCAAGTTTGTGATCGACTCTTGCATGTGGGCCAGTAAACATGACAATCGCGAAGTGGAAAATACCGGCCTTACAATGTGCCTCGAACTGATGAATAATATGGCCGAGACCGATACGCAAACATCGAGTATTTTCTTCCGCCAATTTTTCATTCCAATTCTTCAAGACGTCTTCTTTGTCCTTACCGACAGCGATCACAAAGCAGGTTCGTATATTCGTATACATCCATGGTACTAGAGAAGTCACACTCACCTTCTGGCAGGGTTCAAATCTCAAGCAATGCTACTGTCCCGTATGTTCTACTTCATCGAATCCGGGAAGGTCCAAGAACCCATCTATTCCCCCGAACAAGCGCCGCTCGGGACATCCAACAAAGACTTCTTGCAAGAATACGTTGCCAACCTCTTGCAAAATGCTTTCAAAAACCTTCAGGAGTAAGTTGGCTGCTAGCCCGGTCTCGATTGAAAGGGTGCTGATTCTGCCTCAGGATACAAATCAAGCAGTTTGTAGTTGGCTTGTTTACCTTCAATGATGACTTCAACAAGTTCAAGACTCATTTGCGGGATTTCTTGATCTCTTTGAAAGAGTTCGCAGGTGATAATGCGGAACTTTATGCAGAGGAAAGAGAGCAGGCTCTGCGGGATGCGCAGGCAGCAGAACGAGACCGGGCAATGAGAGTTGGAGGACTTTTGAAGCCGTCTGAAATGGATCAGGAGGATGAGCTCTGACTCGACTTGGAACTCCGCACTGAATTACCAGTGAGCTCATTAGATAGAGCTACAAAAGACTTAGAGGAGTTGGTGACTCCAGAAGACGGTCTCAACGGTTGGTCCCTTTACGGGCTTTGAAGCTTTGAATACTGCTCGTTCTACTGCATGCATGTTTCGGCGTGCTACGTGACAGACAGGGCTTGCTCCCTTTGCCATCTTGACTACCCTTTACTTGAATCCGATATGGACGTGGTTTTGGGTCTCTCCGCACACTGACGTGTCTCTTTGTAATTTCGCTCTTCTTGCCCGACGCTCATCTATGGACTGTGCTTTAGTGAGAACAAGTCGCCAGTTGAGGGTGTAGTGCTTCCACTGATATGACTGAACCAGGTATATCTCCTTCTTCAACCTACACTACCTAACCCGATGAGGATAGTTGGGGAAGGGGCCGGCTGATTGGGATGCTTCTGGTAACCTAATAAAGTAAAACTTTTCGTATCCTCAGCTTACTCTTTTGTTGGATTGGCGATCATTGTGTTTCATACGGCACAAGCACTGCAGTACATCTGAGCGCAACTGTGATGTACTCTGAATCAAATCAATCATGTAGAGAGGTAGCTACATACTAATGTGGATACTGTATACCTCTGGTACTGGAAAACATGTCTGCAGGAGTACCTCTAGTAAATCAGTTGAAGTAGGATAAAAGCGGCGAGGGATTAGCCCCACAAGACTTTCATAGAGAGGTATAATTATTATTGCAGACCCCTTATTTCAACCCCACTACTCAAATAAGAGGTTTGACCGATATATATGAATAATGTCACGCACTAGACAGGTACCCTCAAATACAGCATCCAGCTCTCATATTCAGTTGCTATCCCCAGCCGTCCCACAAGAGAACCATTCCTCTGTCCGTATTTCAGGCACACTGAGATTGAGAGCCGAGAATGACAGTATCGCCACAGACCAGATTGAGGACGCAACTCCAGGACGACATATAAGATGGACTGAAGATGTCGTAGACAACGAGGGAATGGGTAAAAAGAGCTCAAAAGGTAAGCGAATTTGGAATAGGCCATAGAAGCCGTCAGCAACCATCTGCTTACTTTCCCTGTCTCTTCTTCTACTCTTTCCTGTTTATTTCCAAGTCTGTTTTCGCCATCACTTGCATCGTCTTCCATGCGGTTCAGATTGGATGCTAATTACGATAATGTCGGGTCGTCTTTAACCCATACAGTATGTTGCATCTACCACAAACCTCGGCCTGTAGGGGAAAGCAGTTCGGAGTCTGAAGATTCGACATCGAGTTCCTCCGAGTCGGAAAGTGACAACGATGTAGATTGCCGTGATCCGATAGGCCGCGCACAGAACCACAAACAAAATGCACAAGATGCGAGTCAATCTCCGTCAAATCCGTCATTGAATCGAGGACGTACCCCCTCCTGCAGAAAGCGCCATGCCAGGAGAAATGGGAAGAGGAAGCCAAGTCCGAATGCGTACGAAAAAATGCCAAAAGTAAAGGGCCAGCCCAGAAATACGGGGCTGTAACCCATGCATCAACTTCACTCCTCATCTGCAAATACCGCGGCATATAAGTCAATGTCGTCGCGCTGGACGTTGTGGTATGCAATAACACTTGACACCATTGACCTGAAAGAGTCACTCCGGGAGGACAGGCGAGTGGGCTACAAAGTGCAGACCTCTGTCTGGATTGACTCCGTTCCATATTCTCACCGTCAATGGAAAGAAAACGAAGACAGAAAGAAATGGAGCAAGATTACGAACTATGAACATGGAATTCGTGTGGTGTTTGCCATAGGTCTTGTCAGCGGAATCTAGACTGAGCTAGAATCAATCGCCGCAAAATCAGTGTTCGATCGGACGTTATATTGTCAAGATTCGTGCCGGCCCATGAAATAGCTGATTCATAGCATCATACTTTTTCTTCGTGCGACCGCCCGAGGCCCACGTTTCAACCGTCCTCCCACCATTGCGTTTGAATTTGATCTCGTTTCTTCATCCAGTACTGCGCTATCGGTGTCAGCGTTCTCGGCCGGCATCGTTGGCCTCGGTACCTCAGAAGGAGCACCCCATGTCGACGACTTCCGAGTCGAATGCAGGACCGTCCTTAATTCGCCTTGGGTATGCTGGGTGGATGTTTTAAGGTGTGAAGAGTGGCGTCGGGGCTGTTTGCGTCTACCAGGAGTTGGCTCTGATTCTTCTTCAACAACATGTCTTTGCGAGGAGTCAGTATCATCTGTAGATTGTGAGTCCAGCTCATTGTTTCTCCCGGCATTTGAAATGCGGAGCGTATTCTGGTCCTCGTATCCTCTGGGCTTGCTGTTTTCAACAGAGTAGTTGGGTCTCTCACTAGCGCCCGATGAGAGCTCGTTTTGTAGAGTATCATGATCCTCTTCGTCAGCGGTCACAATCTTCGCCAGGATGTTCTTCTTTTTTCTGAGAGAAACCATGTTTACGGGAGAACGTGATGTGTTACCCGAAGCCTTTTCCAATATTGATATGCGGTCCCGCGTCGTCCCTGGCGAACTCTCCGGTTTCTTTGCTCGGCTGATATCGGTCTGTAACCCCGCGTCTCCCTCATCTGTAGAGTCGGGAAGCGTAGCTGTGTTCGATGTCTTGCTCAGCCTCTTCCCCCCGACAGCGGGAACAAATTCGTTTGTGGGTCGACGCATTTTGTCTCTCAGGTTTGGTTCCGCATAGCTCACGACAGATCTTTGACGTCTTGACGGACGTGACGGAGGGGCGTTTAACAATGAAGAAGTCGTTCCAGAGCCACCTTGAAATATAGATACACTTTTTGCAGGGGACAATGATTCTGATTTCTGTGCCTCCTTGTTTGGAAGCACGACTATATCGTGAGGATTGGTTTCTTTTCGCTCATTCTCATTTGAACATTGGCTGGAGAAATTCCCAACAAAGCTACCCTGTTGCTGGCATATTAATTCTTCTCCGGGCTCTACTGGATTGAGAGGCCCTTTCTGTCTTTGCGATTTCTTGCGCATGCCATCATGGGCTGTGGTAGGGGGGTGTTCGTCTGGGGAGGTGATACTAAGGTTGCCATTCTCTGTGATTCATACAGTTAACGAGCCGTTCATGCTGCTTTTCAACCATAAGGGAGTTTCCATACTTGGTTCAAGAGCTTTGCGTTGAGTTGCTTTGTGAGTACCAGAATCCTGCTTCGGCTGCGTGTCCTCTCGCAGTAGCGGATTCCTCCTACGGGTAGACACACGTCCTTCGTCTTTCCCGAGCGAAGAGTGGCGTGGCCGACTGTATTGGAAATCATCATCGCCTATACTGGTCAAGAGGTATTCGTCTTCATGATCTGCACCAAATTTCCTCTTTTGCCCAGCCCTCCTTGGAGATATTGTCTCATCCAGCTCAGTGATTGAGGGCCGGCCCGATGTTGGTGAGATATCGTTCGAGGCGGAAGGATCTGGCTTTTGTCTCTTCCTTGTCATTAACTTCGAGAACAACGTTTCGTCGTCCAACCTCTCATCAACGCCAAGTGTTTCGATATTTTCAAGATCTTTCTCAGAAGCTTGTGGGGTAGACTCTCGACGCTTGATTGTCGATAGTGGCGATGGTGCCTCCGCTGGGTCTGACGCCGTACAGATCTCACGACCAGAATCGATCAGGTGTCGTATTTCCTGCGACCTGATGTTGCTAAGCACAAAATAACTATGTGTAATGAGATTTTCGACCAGTACTTACTCAAGGCTTTCTCGCGGGTAGCATTTGTCTTCGAGAATTACCGGTAGACCTCCCTGTTCCTTACAAACCTGGTTGTTCTCAGGGTCAGGTTTCTTGTATGTGGGTTCGCATCTCAATAGTTTGAGTTGCCCGAGACCTCCGACGCCCAATCTGTCATCACAGGACTTGCCCAACCTGCGTGGTAATGTGCCCAACTCGTTCACGAGATTGCCTAACTCTGCTAACTTGTCGTCTAATCTCGTTTTGATATCATAGACACCATCGTGGAGCGGTTTGGCCGATTCAAACCTCTCCAACTCTTGACTCAGCATTATGACCTGCTCCCGTAGGGAAACATTCTCCGCGAGCAAATTGGAAACATCAGATTCAAGAGTGCGAATGCGAAGGGATTGTATTGAATTGACACGGGCAATCTCGCGGTTCTGCCGCACAAATCGTCGCTTCACTAATATTGACACACAAGTAATCAATTAAGGACCCCAAGAGAGCTACGGTGAGAGACACAAGGAATCAGGGAGGGACAAGGGCGGGCATTGGCGAGAGGAAACTGGATAAGGATAGGACAGTGAGAGCAGCTTACGGATATCAATGGGCTCTGTTGGAGCCGTAGATTCATTCAATCGAGCCATGTTTCTGAAAGTTCATGCCAAGTGGAATGCCTCCTGTCCAGTTACTGGAGACTTGATCTTGCGGAGAGGAGAAGGATAGCTGAAAGGTTGTAGATAAAGCCAGATAATTAAATCTGGGTTTGTTTATAACTCTGTCAGGCCCGGGGCGCAATGGGCACAGTATGTAGTCTATGCTCTACCACGGAGCGGATGCGAAATGTAAACAAGATTTGTGGTTCATGGTTGGCGGTAGTGTGAGCGAAGTCCCGTTGTTGATGTTTGTCCACATAGGGCCTAGTAAAGTGGGGACAAGGGGAAGGCACAAGCAAAACTACCTAGGCTTATCTTAGCCATTTGTATGGGCTTTGTTGTTTGCTCTCTAAATTCATCAACTGAATCTAATAATCAGAGCATTTAGAGTATCTCTTCTTCTTTTCTTTCTCTCTTTTTTTTTTCCTTTGGGCAATTGACACACGTGGCTTGTACAAAGCACAGACTGCACTGATCTCACAGGTGTCATGGCGTATTCATCGTCGCGTCCTACTTCCGCAGTTTTGGCCAGCACATCAACATCATCGTCAATTCGTCAACAGAGCAATCATAATGCCATCTCACACCAGCAGTCTTTTGCTCTATCGTCTCGCATTGTCTCCAAGAAAGCCGAGCTCGAGAATTTGATGCGGCTGCGGGATCTAAGTGGCGTCATGGCGATGCAAATGCAGGTCTTAGAGACGAAGATAGGTACATTAAAAGATGGTACAGAAGGTTCGCTGCCTCGTTGTTCCTCTTTCTGCATTCTTCCACGGCTTTTGCACAATATTGAGGTTTGCGAAATTTTGCACTATCACTGAACAAAAAGAGAAAAGTCGGATACGATTGCATACAATCACTGACTTGAGCAAATTTCTGACTTTCAGCTGTGGCCTGCGTACTTGCAAATTGGGACAACGTTATACGGGCTATCGGTATGGCTTCGAGTAAGTTCGGCATGTTTTGGAGTCTCGCGGCGCTCATCGTTATTTCCCCATGAACTTGTTTCAACAAAAATCACTGATGTTGCATGCCAACATAGCAAAAGCTGCAGCTTCCATAAGCACAAAAGATGAATCCTCAAGCGTTGAGACTGACCATAACTTAATGGTTGAGCGCCGTCTGCCGGCAACCCTGGTGCGAATTCCCGTGGAAGAACGAGAAAGGCCGCAGGACTGAGACATGCAATTATCTCTCCCACATGACCGTACTCCTGGCGGTTTCTCCTAACATGTGGATGAGGCATTCCGGATATTGATGATGTTCCTGTCATTGGCAATGTCACCGTCGATCTCGGAGCTTGATGCCTCCAAAAAGAAGACTGGCTAATGCCAGGGGTTTCAGAAGTATCATGTTTGATGGACTTGGATGGTTGACAGGGAATCTCATTTATGTCTGCACCAGACTACTATTTAGTTTCTGGTATATTACTGGTGCATTAAGCTCCAAGGGCGGCAAGCTGGACTTTTCGTGTTTTTGCATGACACATCCTCAGTGCGACTGAGGTTTTAATCCAGATGGACCCCGGACTTGCAGGTAATGTCTGCCGGTTCGCCCATAGCTAGGTATAGTCATGAGCATATGTATGACTGGAGGTCAATCCTGATGCTGTTTGCCCCTATGATAGGCTGTCTATGGTCACAGTCCGTTACGCCTTTTAAACCGATGGCAGATTCGCCCTATCACCGTCTACAGATGGTGATATCTGCGAAATGTCAAGTACTGACAGTTGGGCTATGCCTGGCTCACAGAGAAGGGGGGGGGAGTTCCCTTGAAAATTCTCTGAAGAGCAAATAACTCACTGAGAACACGCAATGCACATTGATTAACCGCCTAATCTGTTATAAGTAGATGGCACTTGGAAGATCCAGGAGATTTCGTCGAGTGTCTGTCATAGGTAGGTATCCTCCTTGATACCAGCACCGTTTCTTTCCCATTATACTTCTCATCAAACATCAGCTGCTGGTAAGTGATTATTTCAGATCTCGTCACACGTCTACCTAACCACCATGCTAGTTTTGGTTGCAGCGGGCGGCGGTCCCAGACATTTTGCCATTTACAATATCATATAGAGCGCAATTTCCTCTAATCACTAGCTTGACGATATTTCTACTTAGTTAGCAGGGCTAACTAGTCAATCCCCATACTGCTGACCTCTCTGCACAGCCTTCGAGTTCCCCTCTTAGTTCTTAAGCGAAGGTTTGTATTGCGATTATAAATACACTCTCCACAGAATGCATCGTACATGATACCGATTCAATTGTCCTCCTCAACGCTACCTTCAGCTCAATCTCGGTTTATCTTGCTGCGACGGGGCGACATCCAGAACGGATTTGATACGAACCATGAGTTGAGCGGTCCAATTCTTCATCATGAAGACTGGCCTATTTAGCTGAGATACGCCTCCTTCATGCATGCAGCATATATGCCTAGTTGCCATTTGTTCGATCCTCCTAGACTATATTCTTCATCAAGTTCTGCAAGAGAGGTGACGATGAGATGATATATAAATTATTGCTACCTCCACGCACGTCTCAGCACTTCAAAACTTGCGTACACGCTATAGTCAGTATAATCATATAAAGCTTAACCGATGTAGAAAAAGTCTGGTTGAAGGAAAATAGAGGGCGTCTAGCCGGACAACATCGGGACGAGTCATGTTAGGGATATCATCTCACAGTCTCTGTTACTATATTTAGAAGAACCACTTAATCGCAGGGAGTAGCTGAAAATGTCCCTATACGCTTCTACATTCAGAGCCACTGTTTTCCGTTGGTCAAAGGAGTTTAGACTCGCAAGAAAATATAACAACGCCGCCTGGTGCCGTTAAGCCAAGGCTTGTGTAAGGGCTTGCTCATTTTTTGGAACAAAGCGGACCTTGTATTTCTTGGGAATCGCGACCAGACTTGTGGGGTCCGAGTTCCCATTAATGGGGTGCCAGTCAACGTCGTCATGTGGTTCGATATAGAAACTGTTCAGAGTGCGCATGAAGACCAGGTACAATTCACGGTTAGCGAGTAGTGAGCCGGCGCACATGCGATAGCCGATGCCATAGGTCAGCATGGGTGCATCTGGTTGTTCAAACCATCTCTCCGGTCTGAATTCCTCGGGATCGCTCCACACTTCGGGGTCTAGTGCGTACTCGTCAGCGTCAACAGCCAAGGCGAAAAAAATCAATAATGAGTGAGCTCCTACCCATATTACAAGCCCAAGAATTCAGAAAGAAGACTGTGCCCTTCGGAATGACCTTGCCGTCGTAAGTGATGTCTTTGATAGAGGTCCGCGGAAGCGCAAGACGAAGGACGGTATAATATCTGTAAATTCTCAGTCAGAATTTTCAGGTGGAGAGAAAACCGAAGGCTCAGTTAAAAGAACGGGATCTCGGACCTCAGGCATTCCCTCACGAGTGCAGCGACGTATGCGCACTTCTGGTCATCTTGGGCATCGCACAAGGGCTCATCCTGGCTGAACATGTCTTGGATCGCTTGTTCCGCCTTCTTCTGGATATCAGGGCGACGAGACAGTAGACAAAAACTCCAAGCCACGAGTGTGGTAATAGTGTCAAGGCCTCCGGAGAGCATAGTCAAGCTGATAGAGATGAGTTCTTCTTTATTCAATTTTGCTTCCTTGTCGAGGATAACGTTGGCTTGAATGCAAGGCTTGTGAATGCCTTTCTCCATCCGGTCATCCAGGTCCCGGTTAAGCGCATTAAGATATCTGTCACGCCGGTCTCTCATCTCTTTCGCTTTCCTCGAGTTGGTGCTGAAGGGGTTCAGCCGCAAGAGGGGAATGTAGTCCTGCAAATTGCCCGTGGTGCTCCTAAATCTGCTGATCTCCTCCTCCACATGCGTAATCTCATCGAACAGATCTTCCTCTTGTGATGCCACTCGCACTCCCCAATTAAGCGTCAAGGATAAACTCAGACTGAGACGCTGGATCATTGCCATAGGATCCACAGGTGTCTTCCCGCCATTTCCATATTTAAGAAGCTCTGCCACAAACGCTTTTGTCTCCACATCCAAGTGTGACACGTAAGACTCGACCGACGGCCGGTTGAGAGCTGATGCAGCGCCCTTTCTTCTCCTTTTCAGAGACTCACTATAGGGAGAAGTTCCGATTGTCGTTCCAGCGGTGTTCGAAACAATCTATTCGAGACGTTACTCCAGGCTCTCGGAGAGACCAAGTTAGGGAAGGCAGGATATGATCTTTCACTTACTCTGTGGAAAGTATAGAACTCGGGTCTTGAGCTGAGGGCTTGCGCATTTTGGCCGAAAAGTATCTTTGCTGCGGCAGCCGAGTTGACGACTATGACGGGTATATTACCCAGTTGAATCTGGTAGACGTGCCCGTAGGTCTTTGACCATAGACGGTACTGTTCAGCCGCATTTTTGCGAATTTGTGCCAGGTTTCCGATTAAAGGGAGACCGCGGGGACCCTTGAATCCTGGTACGCGAGCAGATGCACGAATAAACTCATTTATGATGATATAAATTATCGGTACAACCAGTGCTGTTACGGCCAGAGACTGGAGAGGGTGTCGAAGGATGTTTTGTTGCAATGAGGACACTGCTGCTGCTATCGCCATGATGAAGTAAAGTCCAACAGAAACTCATTTGACCATGGTTAAAAGGTAATAGAGGGAATGTCCGTCTCACCCCTGATGTAATATAGGGCAGACGTCTAACTCCTGCAACTGAACTGTTTGGTCTCTCATACCGAGAGGAACATTTCCGCTCCCTCTAATGTATGTGACAGTCAACACACATCGATTCTCACCCCGCATTTTCTAGTCAGACAGAAGCCGGGGGTAGCATGCCCAAGTTTCAATAATGCACTGCAGGGCTTCACTCGTTGCGTGTGGGGGATGGCTGGTGTTGCCGAGGATTCCGCCCCCGGAACAATTCCGCCATGTTTACAGCTCCGTTGGTAGGCAACGAATCAACAATCAATAACCCACGCGTCCCCTCTACATAAATTCCGAGCCTCCAGGAGCTCATAAGTCCACTTCCCCGAATCAAGCCCATCGACATATGTCAAAATGTTGAGAACGTCGCCATGCTCGTTTGAACGCCGGTGTTCCTCGACCAAGTGCACGCAAATAGGAAAACCACACGTCCAAAAACACAAGCACCAGTAGGGTGCTAGGGAAAGTGACATGCTGCTAGATGCACTCTACCGAGCCAAGAAATTGAATATCACGATGGTAATATTCAGGAACCATGTGAGATGTTGGTTGTGACTTGTGACAGAGAAGAGAGTACTCTGCACTCTTGATAGATCTCCTCAGAGAATCGAAGTACGAATGCATGGCTTTTGTGGTCCAATTGATTGGCGGAAAAATAACCAGGAAGCCTTAAGCCTCACGCACACATGACCGTGGCCATTAAGGTAAGGTTGTTGGTGCTTTTCCCGGCTAGGGACATCTTAGTTAGGATTATTGTAGGTCTCGAGTCTGGACTATCTAGACTCATTCTAGCAGTACTCTGTACGAACTATGAAGTACTAAAGTAGGTAGTGGGATATTCCCTACCTAACTTCTTTTTAATCATAGGTATGGTGGGCCGTAGGGCACGGCACGGCGGCCTACAGAGACGGAGCCTTCAATCTTCTTTACTTATCGTCAAATCACCATTGATTGAGTTAAGGCATTAAAATTCTAGAGGTTGAAGGGAAGCCAGACATGCATTATTTTGGAATTAAGACCGGAATAAACGGGGAGCATTACTATTCGCGGCTCTTTCTCGTGTCAATGAAAAGAACCCTTAGGAGCTAATACCGATATTCCATTATCAAAAACTCTTTTCTTGGCGGTTTGATTCGACTTCAAGGGTAGATAGATGATACTCATCGAGTCGAGAAATTTGAAATATTGGAAGTTGATCCGTGTCTTGCCGTTTGAACTTATTACTTAACGCTACCTCGATTTCTTGTCTACTGGGGGTTTCCCGACAGAGGACAGGAATACTGTTGAACCGGGGCATCTTATGAGTTACTAGTTAGGTAAGACATGTTACTACGTATTCAGATATCTGAAACCGGATTTGGGTATGATATAATAATAATCCCCATCACCACTCAGAATTCCAGGTCAACGTACCTCTACGGAGTAGTATGTACTCCGGAGTATCCTCTCCAAGTACATTTGCCGACAACCATAGCACAGATAGCAGAGGAAACTATCTGGCCATATTAAGTTAGCAACTATCTACCACCTACAGGACAGTTAAGCTAGGAGATTAGTGCTCCGTAAAAGGATCTAGTAGTCCATCAGTCTCCCAAGGCACATAGTCTAGCCTAGTCGATCAGCTACCTTAGACCACAAAACTTTGCTGGTCACATGCCGGCAATCAGCTCGGGAACGACGTCCGGATTAGTGGGTTAGCTCAACCCACGCCGGGAACTGCCGAGATTCTAATTGGTGGGACAATACTCATATGCGCAGTGACACCGTCATTGTGGTCCAACCCCATTCTGTCTTTGATCATTCCTCCAGTCCAATCCTTCATTCCCTGTTATGGGCTGTGGCGACCGGCGACTGGCCAGTGGAAACTACGTAGGTAAGGTAAGGTACCCGCGGGATCTTTCACTTTAGGTAACTCATGCTCCGTAGGCTTTATGACGCATTCGGAAGAGAGAAAGTTACCCGGAGCAGCTCATTGCACAGAATCCAACACTTTTATTGCTAATGACAGGTAGGCCGACTTTTACTCCGTATACCGCGTCTACTTAAAAGTACGTACCTTCTAGAGGTTGAGGTGCTTGCCCTTCGTGGTGCATACCATAAGTAGGTAGGGTGCCTTAAGGTAGTCATTTCATTCTGTCGTTGTTATTGTTTTCTTGTAGATTTTTTCTTTTTATTCTGCGTTTTATTACCTATATTATATTATCAATTAATAGGTGCTACTCTATCTGCAAGGCTCGTGAGATTTATTATTAGCGTAGTACTCCGTAGTTCTTGTCCCTAGGTCCGAATACTGGTTCCTTCCAGCTAACTTTTCAAAGATCTCACCGCCTACGTGACTGGCATTCGAACAGATTAAGGTACTTATGGTCAAGGAGAACGGAGTATCTATTACCGTCACATATTGTCAAAGTCTCAATCTATCCCATCATCTTCTTTATACCTCTTCTCTCTCTTGAGCCTTCCTCTCCGCCTTTCCTCTTCCCCCCTCGCCCAACTCACAGTTCCTAGTTTTATAGTATAGGTATGTATTGCAGTCTGTAATCCCCTTCTACGATGCCCTCTTATTCATATCCACTCTCAAGTGTCTGGTTTTGTCATCGCTTGTGTCCATTTCCCCACTACCAACCCCGTTGCTAGCCCTGTACAGCCGTACTCCATACACTTCATTTTGCGACCCTGCATACTTACTCTGACGCCCTTCTTTTGCTGTGACCTGCCAACTAATCCATCTATCTAAGCGAATCGGAAGTTTGATCTCGCGCATTGGACCAAGTCGCAACTACCGATCATTCTCGACTGCCGATCTGCAAGCCGAAATATAGGTTTTATAGATCCATTCACATATTATGGCCGCTCGTCACTCTCGCAAGTTTCTGAGACCTCTGCTCTACACATCTGCTGCGGCAGCAACAGGAGCTGGTGTCCTCTACATCTCATATCGCCCTCGCAATATTCCTGGCTCGGAAGCGCCCGCCGTACCACCGCCTGGCTACCATGAAGGGAAGCTTGTCCCTCCCAGCTTCCCTGCGATAAAATCGCGGCTAGAGCAGATTGAAGACCTCAAACGGAGTTCTTCTGGCAACGATGATGAATACGACCTTCTCGTTATCGGCGGCGGCGCTACCGGCTCGGGAATAGCGCTTGACGCCGCAACTCGAGGTCTGAAAGTAGCTGTTGTGGAAAGAGATGACTTTAGCGCCGGCACTAGCAGCAAGAGTACAAAACTTGTACACGGCGGGGTTCGATATCTCGAGAAGGCTGTGTGGGAGCTGGATTATAATCAGTAAGCACCCCCTCAATGCACCCACAAAATGACCAGCAGAGGTCCACAACTTGGCTCTATTAGCCACTAACGTCTTTGGCTCGATTGCAGATATAAACTTGTGAAGGAGGCATTGAGAGAGCGCAAATACTTTTTGAATACAGCGCCCCATCTCTCCAGTTGGCTTCCTATCATGGTGCCAGTGCAAAAATGGTGGCAAGCGCCTTACTTCTGGGCCGGTACAAAGGCCTATGACTGGTTGGCCGGCTCCGAAGGGATAGAGAGCTCATATTTTCTCACCAAGAGCAAAGCCATTGATGCGTTCCCCATGTTGAGAAGGGACAACCTCGTCGGTGCGATGGTTTACTATGGTATGTGTCAACCCACGCCACATCTGATGCTTGCGTTTGGCGAGCTACATGCTAATGTCCTGCAGATGGAGCGCACAATGATTCTCGGATGAACGTGTCTCTAGCAATGACTGCAGCTTTGTACGGAAGCACAGTCGTCAACCACATGCAGGTTACCGGCTTAACCAAAGATGAATCAGGAAAGTTGAATGGGGCCCGCGTGAAGGACTTGATTCCGGGAAAGAATGGTCAAGAGGCAGAGGAATTCACGGTCAGAGCTAAGGGGATTATCAACGCCACTGGTCCATTCACTGATTCAATCCGGAAAATGGACGAGCCCGATGTCAAAGAGATTGTAGCTCCCAGTGCTGGCGTTCACGTCATCCTTCCGGGTTACTACAGCCCCTCGAAAATGGGCCTCATTGATCCGTCTACTTCCGATGGACGCGTCATCTTCTTTCTTCCGTGGCAGGGCAACACTATAGCCGGTACGACAGATCAGCCGACGGAGATCACGACCCAGCCCGAACCTTCTGAGAAGGACATCAACTGGATTCTCTCTGAAGTTCGCGGCTACTTGGCCCCAGATATTAATGTCGAACGAAGTGATGTGCTTGCTGCTTGGTCCGGAATCCGCCCGCTGGTCCGTGACCCTAAAGTCAAGAGCTCCGAAGCCTTGGTTCGCAACCATCTAATCTCCGTTTCTCCATCTGGGTTGTTGACTTGCGCTGGCGGCAAATGGACCACGTACCGTCAAATGGCCGAGGAAGCCGTGGACGAGGCGATCAAGGTTTTCGGCCTGAAGCCACGGGCGGTTTCTCAGGTTCCAGACATCAGTGGTGTTGGTGGAAGTGGTTTGGTCTCCGATGGTGCCGTACTTGATGGTAGCTGCCAGACCCACCAAGTCCGCTTGATTGGAGCCCATGGATACTCCAAGACTCTCTTTATCAACCTCATTCAGCACTTCGGCCTCGAGACTGACGTGGCCAAGCATCTGACTGAATCTTATGGCGACCGCGCATGGCAGGTTGCAGCTCTGTCTGCTCCCACAGATGCTCGCTTCCCCCTCCGGGGCCGACGTATCTCGCCGTTGTATCCGTTCATTGACGGTGAAGTTCGCTATGCCGTCCGCCACGAATATGCTCAAACTGCAGTTGATGTCATTGCGCGCAGAACCCGGTTGGCTTTCCTCAACGCTGAAGCGGCACTTGAAGCTCTTCCCGGAATCATCGACTTGATGGGCGCTGAACTCAACTGGGACGACAAGCGAAAGGACGTCGAATGGAAGGACTCGGTTTCGTTCCTTTCGTCAATGGGGCTTCCCAAGTCTCTTTTGGGAATGTCCAGATCGGAGGTCGAGGCAGGCAGGGTGAAGGAATTGGACCTTGTGGAGCGGAAATCGTCGAGAACCGGTGAGTGACCAATGCAATATCTCTTTGTTGGCTAGGCTAATCAAAATTTCAGAGCCACCAGCAGACATGCTCAACGGTGATAAGAGCAAGGATAGCTCAAAATCGTCTGATCCGTTGATCAGCCCTGAGTCCCCGGCCAATAAATAGACATGATAATGATATATAGAGAGCGCGATTTTGTAATATATGCCAAAAATGTCCCATTTTTCAATGTGCCTATAGATCCTTGATACTTTTGCTCTTTGTCATGTTGATACGGTCCATTTTTCTCTGTGCTTCAACAGGATCACCACGTGTGTCATTGCTGCAGCCAGTGCGCTGGAAATGTAATACGGAAGTATACCTTACTTTCGTCAACCAGCTACTATGAGTAGCATTTGCAGCTCCCGACAGGCTTACAAAGAAAAGATGTGTCTGAAGACGGCGTTCAGGTATGAAGTACAGCTTGCTGACAGGACTGTAAAGTCCACCGGAAAGTGGTAGCGAGTTGAGCAAAAAGACAACTAATATAGAAAAAGAAGGTCGTGCCCGGAATCGAACCAGGATTGCCAGAATCAGAATCTGGAGTGATAACCATTACACTACACAACCTGCTGCTGATGAGAAGCGCCTTGACTTATTAACTTAAGAGCCCGCTTATATACCGCGAAAAAGTACCTCGGCTCATACCTACCTAACTACAATGACCAAATTAATAGGCTGCTTGGTATTATCACTACCACTTACTCCTTAGTAAACTACTATCTTCTCAAAATAATGGTCCGGCAGATACCAAGGCATTCGTCGTCTCATGGGGCCCCGAGGGTTGGTGGTATTTAAGCATGACCTGGATTGTTGATTCATAGTTATGATATTCTAATAATACTAATACTATGGACTAGCTGCCCAGAGCCCTAATGAGGTGATAGATGCTTAAAGGGTTAGGCAATTCCTTCACATAACTAGATTGATATATGACTTTAATAGTGGTGGCTACATATATGTTATTGCCATCCTGGAATGTTACATGCTGGAGGCATGGCCGCATGGGTGGGACGATCAAGATAGTGATTGACCAAAAAGCAAATGTGGATGACTTGAATAAGGTCACAAAGGTCGCGCCCGGAATCGAACCAGGATTGCCAGAATCAGAATCTGGAGTGATAACCATTACACTACGCAACCAAATATGTGAGTGCGAATTTTCCCCTTTTAATATAGGAGCATTCTAAATTGGATTATATGCATGGGATACTGTCCCACACGTGGTTTTGGTCGAATGAACTCCTGTATCTTTCCCCAACGTTGAATACAGGAGATGGTACCTAGTTAAACACGCAGCCTGTACTATACACCAATTGGACATCTTTCCAGACTATCCATCCCTTACTTCCAAATCAGCAAAGGGCATCAATCACAGGGGCATTGCTGTCCAGTAGAGGTGTGTCCTAGAGTACTCACACTTTGAGCGAGACATCAAGACCTGCACGTGAGATCGTGCGCCGCCCAACTGAGGCAAAAAACCTACTATGATTTGACCACGGGGTCACATCATGCCTGGCTTTCATATATAAAGTTCAGTGGCTTAACAATGCATTCTGATCTGAAAGAGGCATTATCCTAAACACTATCATTTATACTATATGGGGGCATGCAGACATCATGGGCTCTCTCGAATAGATACTAGGTTGGTAGTCCTACAACATCCACTTGGAACTTCTAGAACTAGGTACAAGAAATGTAGACTACTCCGCATAGAGGTCACATCCTTATGCGCCATACCATGACTTGTTAGAGAAACCACACAGAACCAACATTGATGCCTGTTGAGCAACTACATTTCTTAGCTACAAGCAGAATCGTTTTGCCACTCGAAAAGTTCTGAGTACAGTTGCTTCTATTTCCTTCTAGAGCCCTGGTTACTCTTTCGAGATGCCATGCGCAGCTAGGTAGCTTTAGCTTTCCCGCCCATATACTAGGGATTAGTTTGAAAAATTAAAGATCTGCACTGGGGCCAGATTGATACAAGGCAGGGTATATGGGTAAATCTAGAGTGGATTATGACATGATATTGTAGGTATGTTCCATGGCCTCCGTGTTCCATTCTCCAGAGGGCTGCAGATGAACTTGCTCTTATACTTTATAGATTTATAATTTTGAACACTGGCGCGTCCTCTGGTTGCGTAGTGTAATGGTTATCACTCCAGATTCTGATTCTGGCAATCCTGGTTCGATTCCGGGCGCGACCTTTTTTTTCCCTCCCTATTCTGTCATTGTCGCTATACTTTGCTCAGTTTTTTCAATAGATCACAAGGGTGTGGCCTGTATCCTCATTGATAGTAGCTTGACTTGCTTATCTGCGCGGCTTTTTTGCATTAACCCACCAGTCAATTTAGCCAGAGAAAATTAGTACTATCACCAGATTGTCCAATTATATGATTGACATCATCCTGGCTTTTGGACCTCCGTGCATTATACAACCACTGAGTCTGCTAGCGGTAAACATGCTAAAGATAGGTACGGTCAGATTCGCTAAGGCAGTTTAATGAGAAGTACACTTCCAATTGGGGGCCAGAGGTAATGGACATGGGATATGGAGCAAATCGTAAGAAAACCAGGCAGCAACAAATTATTATGAACACGGCGAAGTATCATATAATACACAATGCTACTGCTGACATGGTTACGCCCAGGGGTACTAGTATACTCTACGCGGAGTACTTTGAATAGTTACTTACCATAGGAATGGAAGGCAACAACTGAACACAGTCAACAAAACAGGTACAAGTTTCGTACTGCGACCTAACTCAAATTGAATTCAACTGATGAACGTTCCATATGTGATTTCCATATATAGCCTTTTTAGACTGGGTGTATTATAAATAGCATGGTTGTGTAGTGTAATGGTTATCACTCCAGATTCTGATTCTGGCAATCCTGGTTCGATTCCGGGCACGACCTTACTTTTTCTTTTTGCTTTTGCCAGCTCTGAAAAGTTTCATATGTCGAAAACTTTCGTACAGCCACCGTATTCTGGTTGCGTAGTGTAATGGTTATCACTCCAGATTCTGATTCTGGCAATCCTGGTTCGATTCCGGGCGCGACCTGGGAAGCCTCAGTTGGTAGGAAGACTTTTTTGTTTTTCGTTTATTCCTTCAAATTGCGTGTCATTCTTCCCCATGCCATGTGTACAATTGTCAAGTAACATTAATATGTGAGCGACCTGTCTGTGGTAGTAAGGAGTCTACCCTGTGATCTACTATATAGGTCTGGATGCGCGAGATGAAGGCATCTCGCGGTATTGTCAGCCTTTTAGTTTTGTGGTAATCTAGAATCCGGCCCGTGTTCTTACAGTGGTAGTTACTAGTGATAGTAGATTAATTTTGTGTCTACTTACAAGCTTATCAAGTTAGGTTGCTCTTTTGTATCTCCTAATGCAGTATGGGCCAATCATGTAGTTTCGTGTTGCAAGATTGTCTGTCCATCGAACTATAACCAACAGTAGCTTTGACCAAGTAATCTGCAACCACCAAATTCCATACATAAGTTGACTCGGTAGGTCATGATACTCTGATCGACCTAACTAGGTCATGATAATTATAGAGGATGATGTCACAGTCTGTGCAGATAACTGTTCCTAAGAGTGCGAATTGATCACCTGGTGTCTATAAGACCAGTAGTTCACTGACACGATCAACATATTGAATGGAACGGAGGAGGCAAAAGAAGGTAGCCCTGGCCCAAGCACAACGAACAATTTTGGCGATCTGGCTGACCCAGCCTGAGCAGTGGTAGTCCGAGTTCAAGACCACCTGATATGGAAAAGAAATGAAATTATTATACTTCGATCGTTTTGCAGATATATCATTCGAGGGTCAATGCCGCTCTTGACTCGAAAAAACTCGCAGCACAGCTGCATCGAGTCAAATCCGAATGTTTGTAGAGGGATTGGGCTCAGTCAAAGTATGGTGCTGAGCGTGAATCGAAGATCATGAAAGTGATTAATGTCGTCCGGCAAAGAAAAATTCTCTCCGCACAAATAGAGGACGGTCATCCCTGCTGACCTCTTCACAGGCATATGCAGAAGACATGAAGGAGTTCCCAAGGCTGGTTTAAACCCGGCAATATCGGCCAACGGAAGTTATTTCGTCCAGCGCTCCCAATTCTCGTTTCGCAGGCACAGCTAGGCATGGTCAAACAGTAACCCTGGACCCGCGGATTACAGCTCAAATGTCACAGCCGGCTGCCCCCAGAAACGTTGATTTTTGATGGTCAGATTTCACTCCTGAGCCATTGAGAGTTATGGAGGGGGCCAGGCTTGACATGCAACCGAAGCGTGTGGTCCTCTTGGTCAAGACGATGGCCTCGGAGGACGCCAAAAAAGACACTGTGGTTTTCCCACATATCGCTGAAAACCAGATGCCATTTGTACAACAGCAAGTGCTATGTCTTACTTCCATCACTGCTTGCGCTATTCCCACGGTAATTGTTCCAGAACCGTTCCACTGCCAACTGGGCAATCCGGTTACCGCGATACCTGACACGGAAATAGTTGAATAATGCAAATTCGTCCCCATTCAGCACATAGCTATCCGGCGCATCCTGTATCCTCTGCCACAGATTCGCGATGGCGGTCTCGAGTATAGCGCTCGTGTTTCGATCAACAGCATCTGGCTCGCAGTTACGGGCACGCTCCAGTGCTTGGCGGACGTTGGAACGATCTGCAGGAGTTGCGGAATTGGCCATTTGTCACAGTTTGAGTGATGGTTCTTGACACCTCGGGCGATATCTAGGGCTGTTTGCGTGTAGGCGTTTCGAAGGAAATAGAAACGCTGGCAAGTAGCCGGGTTACCAATTCGGAGAATTGACAGAGGGAACAAAACAGAGTGGAAGGAAAAAGAACAGAACGAAGGAAAAGGGAAAGGAGAACGAGAAAAAAGCACCAGAGAGCAGCAAGAGATTATTTCCAGAAATTTAAATATATCGATCGAAATCCCTGGCGAAATGCGTACTCGAGGGAAACCCCCTCCAAATCTGTCAAATTAATGCAGCCAGAGTGGAGAAGGGAGAGCAATCGTGGATCGAATCTCCTACAAGGGATTGAGAGAGTCGGGAACGGCTACATGTTGTTGGCCTTTGGAAGATCTGCCGTTTCTTCTGTCTTTCCCTTTGTTCATACATCCTACAAGCAGTCTCGCACTTTCGCACGCGAGCCATTCGCAACGCGTATGTTCGAAATCCGACAAATCAGTTGATGCAACAGCCGATTGAGATTGCAGAAAACACAGTGAAGGAAGTCTAGACAGAGCCTAGAGATCCTTTAGCGCGCTGATAGGACTCTCATAAGCAGTTTGTTCTGTTTTCAAGTGCTCATAATTCAATAACGACCATGTGGCAGGTGGAGTCTTGGTACGGGCATACCCGCTGTAGGCTGTAGACCTCTGTAGCAGAAATGCCACAAACGAACAGACATGGTAGTGGTATGTAAGTAAGTCACTTGGTCTAACTGTACTCCGGATCTATTGCCGTAGCCCGACTGCCTGAGACTGATTCAAACGCTAATCGATCCCTTGACGAGTTGGCGTAACGGTTTTTCTCCCTGTCAATCGACGAATCATATATCGACCCATTCACGGTTTGCATCTTGTGGAATTGCTATCTGGCGACCATCACTGAAATCAGCTCCTTCTGCTAGGCCAGTAGTTAAGTACTGTTATGACTACTGACCAAAAACTACTTGCAGCGGAAAGTGACAATCGTGGACCCGAGACTCGGGCATCCGGGGTATGAACGGACTACTCCCTACCTTACAGGATACACACAAATTCTGTTTTGAGTATCGGGGTAATCCCAAAATGGTTGGCGCTTACGCGAAACAAATACCTGATTACCCTGTATGGTCTTGGTCTTGGAAGTTGAGAGGTGGATACTACTTTATATAGGTTCGGACTACGGAGTATGTGCTACCCCTACTCTGTCTCTTCCTCCGCATGCCACATCAACCATGGATATCGCTTGGACACCATGTCCGGTGCATGAGCTAAGTGGAGATCTGTGGTCACTGCTAGTAGTGAGTTCGAGTTGTGACTAGTAGAGTGCAGCGAATCAACCGATATCGTCGACGGAAAGCTAGCAATTGAATGACTGGCATGATCGCACTTGGTTCAAACTTCTGATTTCGGAGATTGCATTCAATCTCATGGTCGTCCATTGTGGCTTGGTAGTCGGTAGTATGAGTCAAATACTCCCATGCAATCAAGGGGTTTCTCAGAGGTCCTGCCATTGTCCCAACCTGGGAGGGCAAGGAAGCGGGTAGAATTTGGGCAACGCGAGTACAGATTCCTCAGCTTTCCCTCACTGGGTATTCTGTAATTGATGGTTGCAGTCGCGTACCTGCTACTTCTCCATGTAAGTATCCATGTCCTATGACATAAGGTGGTGTAAATAGTCCTTTCAAAAGCAACACGTAGGTAATGAACTTCCACTCTGCCATCCTCAAGAACACGACAAGGATATCTTACTGCTAAGCTTCTTTTCCGAATGAATTTCTCCGCGCTGCAAAATCAAGACAAAAAGGGGTTGAAGGGCAAAGAAGGAAGGAAGCCAGAGTATATATGAATGCGATATCACCCGATTAATCAGTGACAATGACACTCGAGACTGACTGTCATGAGACTGGTGGTTCTGCTGGCCTTCCTGTCCTGCTGGGGTAGATCATGAATCATCCCTCTATCTCTCACTTGCGCTGGAACTTCACATTGTTGCCATCGCGACTGGTTGAATATAATGATATAGCCATAGGATAATTACATGTCAATCACCCCCTGGGAAGGAAAGCACTTCGTGCTGTGCATGCTGGTTCTTGCTGAGAATCTGGCAGCCGGGTGTACCGGAATACCTGTTGTTGTCCGAATCAAGCTGTCTCTTCCGGTGTACGAAGTATCGAGGAATCATATCCGCGATATAGTGCGTCTTTATCCAGGTGAGCGTACTATGTTCCATAATAATCAGAATTATTATATATCAAGCCGCGTTGATTACTATCAGATCGGGATGACAGATTACTATTCGATCAGCGTTCTCACTTCGGATCCAGTTTCAGGTAGATAGTATATGCGGCTTGATATCCGATTCCAGTATGGTTTTCCACCGAGCCATGGAGCCTTGCGGGTCTTATAAGTCAATTATGATCAGGGCCCAGGGAAATTTGGGATTCGGCAAGCCGGAGTGGTATGATGTGTGCATACATGGAGGACCTTTGCAAGTTTGCATAACTGACCATACATGAGTGGGCAGTATAGACTCGGTTTGAAGGCCTGAAATGATCGAAATGATTATTTGACAGTTCGATGACGGAAAGGTTTAGAGTATCCCCAATGGTGCCGAGGAAAGGCAGAGCTGTACATCAGCGTACCTATTAAGGTACTCCGTACTTAAGGTACCTTTATGGTGGAAATGATCCTAAGACAATCTGTTACACTGAGCTCGGATCGGAGTTGCTTCTCAATGATACTTAGCCAATTCCATTTTTAGAGGTAGTTGTTAACTTATCTCCTACTATTATTATCAAAGAACTACCTGGCTATGCGTCATCATTAGAAAGACTTTACAAGCTTAAGCTTACGCGTTCCTAATACCAGTACTTACTATGAGTATATCAAGTCCGACGCTAAGCTATATCACTGATGCCATAAAATTTCATATATAAACTAAGAAGGCTAGGCTCTTAACAGGGAAGTGAATCTAAAAGTAGAACGACAAGTAACCTGACTACATTATGAGATGGCACGTACTATGAGGAGAGAGGTAGATAATACGTACTCCGTGGTAGATTTCCCCACCTTGAAGTTCCTAAGAAAACGACCAAACCTAGAAAATCCCACCCCACTATTTCTTACTGAATTTATCCACTGGCGCTTATCAACGTTGAATCAAGAGAAAGATTCTTTCATGGTGGTTCTGCTAGCTAAGAAGAAACGGCAAGATGGTATACTACTTTACCTCGAATGTGGTGAAACCTGCCGCCTTTATCTATGTCGGAAAAGACAAATTTGAAAGTATGACAGCCATTCTTCGACTCTGCGAAACGTGCCCTAGATCTAAAAGTCCCTGCTATTAGATGAGGATCTCATCAAATATGGTCTAGAGAAGGATGTCTGGTACCGCTAATCACCACCTATATCCTCATCATTGCGCTGAGTGCTAAGAGTTAACTCATGGTTATCACCCCAGGGTTTGTTGTCCACCCCACCCCCAAGGCTCAAAGCACAACGAAGTCCAAACTCTTGTACTTATGGAGTACCCAGTTCCATGTCGATAATCTATCGAGTGCCCACGTTTACCTGCGCCTTCGCGATGGTGAAACGTGGGACCAGATCCCACAACCGCTCCTAGAAGACTGTGCCCAGCTCACCAAAGCCAATTCCATTGAAGGTCAGCCCTGAAGCACTTCTGTTCATGTGACAGAATATAAGAGTGGGAGGTAAAGCTTATCGGCAGTGCAGGAAACAAGAAGGATAACATCACAGTGATTTACACGCCATGGTCAAACTTGCTGAAAGACGGGTCAATGGCGACTGGACAGGTCTCATTCCACAACCCCAAAATGGTCCGAAAAGTCTACGTTCGACAGCGAGAAAATGCAATTGTCAATAGGCTCAACAAGACTCGCGAGGAGAGATTTCCGGATCTTCGCGCAGAGAAAGAGGAATTTCTGAAGAAAAAGCAAAAGGAAGAACGAAGAGCAAGAGACGAGCAACGTGCCAGGGAAAAACAGGAAAAGAGGGAGCGTGAACAGCTCAAATGGCAGAAAGAGCATGCCTACGATGACCTGTTCAGTGAAGAGAACATGCAGGCAACCAGCAATCAGGATCGAGACTCGGACTTCCTGGATGACTTTATGTGAATGAAATCTGCTAAGTATCAAATTTATGCCGACCACTTTGTTGAACAAGAGCTACTGTAGTCTCTTCTTCCCTTAGAAGTTGAGGCTCCTCGAGGCAAATGAGCTCTCGGCAGAGGATGAGTATAGAATCACATGAATCACATGTGTGATTGTCGCCCAGGCTTTCTCGACGTTGGACCGATACGGTTTATGACAATATAACGAAACATGGCTCCTATGGATAGTGGCTGCTGAGTGCACCGCACTACCCGGTCGAGAGTGGACGGCATACCGGCATAGATGCATTGCGCGGAGCCGCTTTAAGACACATTTTCTGTTTCCATCCCTCTAACGCAAGTTCACCTTTTGTGAAACCTAGCGTAAAAATGGAAAAATGTAATGCCTCATTACCTGCATGTCTCGATAAGTGCTTGCCACAGTAACCAGAGTGGGCTCGTCCTGGACGTCGTAACTACTAGGATGCGGACTTGGCTCGGAACAAGTGCAACCGCGCTAGTGGTGTTGACAGGTATACCCTGGATCCAGTACCCAGAGTAGCGCCGGCCATCTAAGCAGTTACCATCCCACCGAAGCTTCCTTGAACCACATTTACACAAGATGCCCGAAGGTAGGTTGCTGGTTGGTTCGAATTAATAAATAATCTTCAAGATTTCTGCCCAGAAATCACGCTGACGACTCAGCAGCAGCCGTCAAGTCGAAAAAGAGCAAGAAGAACAAGGGCACTGCAAAAAACAAGGAAGCCCATGTCAAGGTCAAGGACGGAGAAGAAGAAGGGCCTTCGAGTGAACAAATTGATAATCTCTCTGACACCCAGGGAGCCGATGTTCGTGATGCCGCCACGAGATAGCCGCCGTGGTCTAATCGTCGCTAACGCAAAGCAATAGGACTCCCAGCCACCTACGATAGCTCAGGCTACACCTGTTGGGGCTTCTCTAAGAAATAAAATCGAGTACAACCAATCGAAAGGATCTGCGGATCCGAAATTCCATGATGATGATGCACACGGCAAAGAAATTGAAGATCCGGGGTCACCCTCGTCGGACCGGTTTGACGCTCTTGTTCGAGATCGAGACTCTCTCCGCGCCGAAGTCATAGACATGCGCAAATCTTTGGAGGAAATACAGCTCAAACACAGCGCAGAGATGGAAGCTCTTCAACAGAAATTGGACGATGCCGAAACCAAGAAGGAGCACGCAGAGACACAATTTCAGAAGCTCCTGGAAAGAGTGAACACCATCAAAGCGCAGCTGGGCGAAAGGCTCAAAGAAGATGCTGTATGTTGAAGTCTTTATCTCAAGGACCTTGACCTAGCGCGTGAGCTAAGTAACTCCATAGGAAGAAATTGCGCAAGCCAACTCCAAGATCGAGGAGCTCGAGCAACAGAATTCAAGCTTGAGAGATACCTTGGACGCGAAAAACTCGGAGCTGGCAGAACTCACCCAAGATAACGAGCAGAAGTCAAATGAAATCGCTACACTGAGAAGTCGAAGTAACCTGTCCCAGCAGAATTGGTTAAAAGAAAAGGAGGAGCTTTTGGAACAAGAATCATATCTGCAGTCCGAGTTCGAGCAAGCAAAAGAAGCCATGCATAACTGGGAAATACTCGCTATGGAGGAGCGATCCATAAGAGAGAGCCTCGGTGAAAAGGTCATCGACCTTGAAGAGCAGCTGGTTGCTCTTAAGGACTCGTACGAGAAAGTCGCTTCCGAGCGTGATTCTCAGATAGCCACCGTGGACGGTTTACAACGTGCTTTGCAAGAGATTCAATCAGGTAGAGCATATTCTGTGTATATCGGCGCTTCTGGCTGATTTCGATGCTGACTATTTCTAGCTCGGAAACAAGAGCTCCGTGACCTCGTAGAAAGCTCGAACACTCAGCTTGAGGAGCTAAGGCGGGCTCTCCAAGGCGCCGAGACGAAAGCTTGTGAGGCCGAGGAAGCTCTTCAGGCTGCCCAGAAGGAGCTTGAAAGGGTAAAACCGTTTGAAAAAGAAGTTAAGGAGAAGAATCTCCTGATCGGGAAGTTAAGACACGAGGCTGTGACACTGAACGACCATCTCACCAAAGCCTTACGATTCCTCAAAAAAGGCAGAGCTGAGGATAATGTCGATAGGTCAGTCGGAATTTGAGGCCTGCCCGCACTGCTGATTTATTCACTAAAGTTATCTAGGCACATCGTTACAAATCATTTGTTGCACTTTCTCGCCCTTGATCGATCAGATCCGAAGAAGTTTCAAATACTGCAGCTTATCGCAGCTCTCCTGGGGTGGACGGACGGTATGCGAAGACACCGTGCATACCCCATCGTGCGAACTGTGAATTGACACTGACACTTGACGACAGAGCAGCGCGAGCAAGCAGGCCTTGCACGCCCAGGAACATCAAGTACCGCCGGCAAGCTCAAAATACCGAGTATATCCATGCACCGTACACCCAGCACACCTACCTTAGCCACAGATTTCCTGGACCACGGGAACCCGAGCAAAGAGTCTCTGGCCGAACTCTGGTCCAATTTCCTAGAGCAGGAGTCACAGGCTAGTGGGAATCTAGAATCGCCGAAACCCTGATGATTTGCAAGGGTGGCTCTGTCTGGGACTGTATAGAAAACTAGCATCTTCTCTATGATAAGCCGGTTCTTATCGAGTTCCACATTCGCTCATGCTTGCCGACTACCTTTGATCTTCTCTCCTTTTCCATTCTTGACTTGCTTCGTAGTACTCTGTAATAATGCTGAAATCGTCCGCATGTTTGCGACGTTTGCACCAAAGCTTGCCCACCGCTTTCTTTCTGCCACCATAGTGGGGGACTGTTATTGACCGGACAAGCCATTGTTGGCTTTTTCTGCTCATGTTTGGCCTATGCTTCGCCTATTCAGCTCTCGTACAGCTGGGAAGTTGAATGATAAACGCCCTTCTTTGACTTCTTGGTACTCCAGATTGACAATGGCTACCGGGGCTGGTACGATCTCTCGTTCCAACGCCTATCGTCGTATTCCTCATCGCTGTTGACTGACCAATGCAGCAGCGCAAAGGTTCCGTCCAGTGGTGGTATCGGGTCCCTCCGGGGCTGGGAAGTCGACTTTGCTCAAGAGACTCTTCGCCGAATACCCTGATACTTTCGATTTATCCGTGTCTCGTAAGTCTAACCCCTTGCCAACCCTCACTGACTCTGCCTACGAACCGTTTCTTTTGGTGGAATGGCGTTGAACGGTGTCTGTTATTTTTAGATACCACTCGAGCTCCCCGTCACGGGAAGAAAATGGACGCGAGTATTACTTCACAACTAAAGAAGATTTCCTGGATCTCGTGAGCAAGAATGCCTTTATCGAGCATGCGCAGTTTGGCGGCAATTACTACGGCACTACTGTGCAGGCTGTGAAGGATGTTGCGCAGAAGGGCAAGATCTGCGTTCTCGACATTGAGATGGAGGTAATAATAGTCCTGCAACGTGAATTGATAGACCAGAGAAGGAGAGGGAAATCCATCATCGAATGGATCATAGTTCAACCGAGACAACAGCTGACGACTGAACTGCAATAGGGCGTGAAGCAAGTCAAGCGCACCGATCTCGATGCTCGATTCTTATTTTTAGCGCCCCCGTCCATTGAAGAACTGGAGAAAAGACTGCGTGGGAGAGCAACCGAGACTGAGGAGAGCTTGACGGTATGGGTGTCCTCCACATTCCTTCACTCCCTCAACTCGCCAGACTGTCCGCTGGAAATCTAACTCTGCTGCAGAAACGCCTTGCCCAAGCTAAAAACGAATTGGAATATGCTGCGCAGCCTGGCTCTCATGATAAGACCGTCGTGAACGATGACCTGGAGAAGGCATATAAGGAGCTGCGCGATTGGATTGTCGACGGTGGTAACTTTGGAGCGCGTCAATGATTTATTGGGAATGTCTTAGCGTGTTTTATTTCAATCAGCGCTGCTGTATACCTCAGCGTCCGTAGATACTGTCGGCTGCGATACTGGAACAATGCATCATCTGCCTTGGCCTCGGCCCACAGAAACCCATTAATCAAGGAGGTCCTTTCGCCGTCGACGAACATAAGAGAGATTAATTACATGGACATCAAGACTATACTAACAATTCGAATGTTAGTCTCTTTTCCGTCTGGAGACGACAAATCTAGGAAAGGTGGTAGACCCAGTCACTCTCTTGAACGGAGAGAAGATAAAGCAAAACTAAAAAAGAGAACAAGGCCTGATGAACAATATGAGGGCTGAAAAGGATATCTGTAAAAGGCTGCTAGAGTAAAATGTAAGTTGCCGAATGAGAAGGCAATGGAGGAAGAGAAGGGGTCCTTTATCGCTGTTTGGGGGTGGACCGGAAATGACTGCAGTATGTTTATGGACCATGGCCAGCCGAAGCTATTAGACTGGTCCTGAGACACACTCTCTACGAGCACCTAATAGCCGTTCATGGTCATCCGTTGCGAGTTGCGACTGAGTTCCCGGTCGGCAGAAGGGCTAATAGGCCGGCTGCCAGCAGAATGGGCCCCCGCAGCACTGCTCTCCTTCAAGGCCAGAAGCTGTTTCGCACGGAAAGTCTCGTAGTGAATCTGGCTTGTTGTTTCAATCAGATCTTGGAGGTGAGTGCGAGTGAGAAAGTTCCTCAAATAAACAAATTCGCAGTGGGTTTCGTCTTCCACATTGATGACACCCCAGCGGTTTTGTCGGCCGCGAACTTGTTGTCCATTAACGACAATAGTTTTCTCACTGCCGACGACGGCGAATGGAATAATGTCCTAAGGGAGGGTTAGAGCCAGGCGGGCAGGGAATACAAGCGGCACGGGTAGTAGAAGGTCTGACCTTGATTTGGGCATTAACCGCACGCTCTTCGTCATCAAGTTCGTCATTATCATAGGGGTACATCTTCAGATTGTGGAAAGCGAATTCTTCCTTGATGCGCTCCTTGAACGCCTGACGTTCCTCGAGAGTGAGCGAGTCTGCCTTGGCGATTACTGGAACGACATTGACAACATCTGAGAGCTTCTTCAAGACGACAATGTCAATGGGTTTGAGACTACATTTGCAGAGTCAGCAAGATTGAGCCATAGATAACTTTTATGGCCCAGACTCACGCATGGCCAGATGGCTGAATGAAGAACAAGCAGCAATGGATACGGGTATCCTGGATATAGCGGTCACGCTGAGCAGTAAGCTCCTTTCGAAGGTATGCTGAGTGCTGATCCTTGATGTATTTCACGATGGGGTCCCAACTATGGCACAATCAGCTTGGTCATCGAAGAGCAGGTAGGTTATATCTATACCATCTATCATTGTTGACTTGATCGCCGTATCCCGGAGTGTCGACAATGTTCAACCTGAGGCGTACACCATTCTCCTCAATGACTAGCAAACAACCGTTAGCAAGGCGTTCCTGTCGAAGATCTTATCCTCCGGCACCAACGCACTGTGGGAGACGGTCTGGATCTCTGTGGTCGATCGAACGGGTTCGTTGGGCGTCAGACGACCCTTAGAGTCGATCAAATGGGAAGCAAAAATGGTGTTGATCAGAGTAGACTTTCCGAGACCTGTCTGGCCTATTGGTAGAGTAAAGGACACAGTCAATGCGAGTTCGTTCAAGGAACAACTGGACAGTTGCCGCCCACGTACCAACACACATCACATTGAACTGAAAGCCACGCTTCAAGAGCTTCCGCTCAATCTGAGATGTGATACTGTCAAAGCCAACATGACTGCGAGGAAAAACAGTGGTTGGGTTGATCGAATTCGAATTGGCTGTGGTGGCCATCTTGAGAACTGTGCTCTCGTTGGTTATGGCTTCCAAATCAAATGAAGGAATTGAGCAATGGAAAGCTGAATATTTGGATGATGACAGGCCAAGATAGAACGAACAAAAGTCGACCAAGAAAGCTCCGTATGAAATCAACCAGTATTCTGAATGGACCCCAAGAATGCCAGTCTGGAGTTTCTAGTTGGAGTAGAAGACTACCTTACGGAACCCCCTTAATTGTTGTCACAACTCAGGGGAACTCTATACCATATGAGGACTAGTGCATCTCCGGATCCAAACACAGCAAACCACTGGTCTGCTGGGAAAAGCTTCAGAATTCCGACAAAGTCCAAAATTCTTGCGATCTTGGACAGGGAAAGCAACGTAAAGGCCGTGTCAATTCCGCCATTCTGTCTTTCGGTCCGACGGGCACTACCAATACCAAGAAAATGACTTTACGAATGTTTCAATCCGCCATCTCGTCATACATGTTCCCTCGCGTGCTTCTGGCCTCGGAACCTCTATCCTCCTCCACTGCAGGACGGTGGTCGCGGTCTCTGCAGAGTTCTCCAATCCTCCCTTATCGACTGCTGAGACCTGCAGCCCTATCATTGAACCTTCCCGGCATCATTTCCGGCATCTGGGATTCCGTCCTGCGTGCTGTACCCAAAAAGAAGACGTCCCACATGAAAAAGCGTCATAGGCAGATGGCTGGCAAGGCTTTAAAAGATCTCAAAAACCTCAACACTTGTTCTGGATGCGGTCGAATGAAGCGTGCCCATGTTTTATGTCCACACTGCGTTGAAGGTATGTTCTTGCCCATTGGATACGTTGGTCTATCGAGACTCTGATGAGTTGTTTCCTGGTTAGACATTAAGAAGCAATGGAAGCACACCCAGGCGGCATGAGTGGAACACAACGGTGACCTGAGAGGACAGTGAGCCGTGCAAACTGAATCATGAAAAATCAAGGATGATAGATCTGAGGTACCGAGAGACCTGTACTTTTTATACAGCTGGGATATAGGGTATGCTGCATGGCATTCGGCGTCTGGTTTGATTGGAGAGCCATTTGTACAAATTTTGCTTCCCATTTTTCTCTTGCTTTGCTAGTGTATAGTTATCATTGAAGCCTTCAAAACCGATAATTGCCTCTCAGTAATCTTTCGGCCTCATTGGAATCTCCACATGGTAAAAAAGTGTGCTTACTGCACGAAGTGTATGGGATGGTGGGACTCGTGGCCGCTCGCGCCCATGATCTCACCAGCAAATACCTACCTTACCTAGGTTATTTTCCCACGACCACCGACCACTTACGGAGTATCAGCCACCATACCCAATTATCGAGCTTCACCAATTCAAACATTCTTTTCAATCAAAGAGTAGACAGAAGACTATCCAAGTGTCCCCCATGACTCAGATAGATTAAACATGGTAAGACCCTAAAAGAGAATTGTCATGGCTGTCCCAGCACATCTGAACATACATAGTCGAAACAATACCTGTCGTGGGGTTCCGCGGACAATGGTCAGTATGAAGAAGATTGACACTTTCACTTCTTTCCTGGTCTGAATTTTATTAACTGTACCTTATGCGGGATACAGCCCATCCTCTTGATATCTTCTCACTGGCTGTAACTGATACACGAATCCTGTCGGCTTCTGGCGCAACTGCGCTCAAGATTCATTCCACAACAGACCCTGATTTCCCGCTGGTGCAATCCATTGATGGTGCCCACAAAGTCGGTTGTCACCATATAGTGACAAATGGGAAAGGCTCCAGAGCAGTCAGTGTAGGCTTTGGTGGAGAGATCAATGTCTGGGCCTGCCACGAGGGAACTTGGTCCAAGGACGACGCTGCTTCAGGTACCACAATCCAAGTTCTTGTCGATCTACCGGACTCGTTTCATTACTTCAAGACTTAACAACTTTGATATGTTACTGATGAATCAATAGGAAACATGGCAGGTGCAGCTGGTACCTGGGCTGTAGCTTTGTCAGATGACGGACAGTACCTCGCTGGCGTCACCCAGGATGGACACATCAGAGTATGGGATCTCAATGCTAGCGGCGAGCTGATTCGAGACTACGAAACCAAGGGTAGTTTTGGCACTTGCTTGGACATGGTAAGTTCAACCTGCCCCTCGTCAGTGGAGGTGCTCATGCGAGCTCTGCAGTCTGTGGATGGCCGCCTTATTGCTAGTGGGCATGAGAGCGGTAGTGTCTACATCTTCAGTACAGAAACTGGGCGAATGCCATTCAGCTTGTCAGGTATTTCTTTCCATCTCAGAACGGAAAGCTCGGGAGTGAGATTGTCTGATATCCTGCAGGTCTGGTCAAGCCAGTACGGACTGTGGCATTCTCTCCTGGAGGAAAGCTTCTTGCTGCCGCTGGAGATTCAAGGGTAATTGTGCTTTATGACACTTCATCTGGAGAGCAGGTTGCAAATCTCTCGGGTCACTCAGCCTGGATTCTTTCACTCTCTTGGAGCCATACAGGGGAGTACCTGTTGAGCAGGTCGGTTGATATGACTAATTTAAACCCCTTTAAGATTTACAGCTAACGAATGCAAAGCTCATTTGACGGAAAAGTTAAAGTCTGGTCAATTGATACAAGGTCGTGCGTCGCAACTCATTCAGAAACGGAGAAGGCGGTTTGGAGCGCCAAATGGCTGCCAAAGACTGGGAGGTCTGAAGGATTTGCTACTGCTGGAGCAAGCCGAAGCATAGCTTTCTATCGCGAAGCAACTGGTGGCTGATTACTGTTTGGGCAGACCCCCTATTGTGCTTTTGGAGAAAGACCAGACGAGAGGGATTCTTCTTTCCCGCGCTGCGGTTGAGCAAGCGAACTGTATCGTCTAAAACAGTCAAGTAGAATAGAAGTCATATCACGCTTCCTTAGCCAATAGCGGGTAACACCCTACTTCAGCGATTCGACAAGTAGCCTGCGCATCCTTTTCAGAAAAGCCCCAAAATCACGGTCCTCGTTCAAGAGGTCGACTTCCCGCTCCAGAGCTTCTCTATCCACTTTCGGCCGCGTATGGAAGACTTCGTAATCGCGACTGGCGGTTCCTAGTTCAAACCACGCCTCCGTGTCCCAATCTTTCTCCAAAAGGTGACTGTAGACGAATTTCAACCGATCTTCTCGTCCGGCACCTTCGATTCGCAAACATAGATAATCCTGCCAGAATTCTAATTCTGGCAGGTTCAATCGCGACTGTGCGTCTAGATGTCGGGCATGAGCTTTCTGGGCTTCTAATTTCTGGTTGATGGCACTCTGAGTTTCTTCAATTTGTTGCTTCAGACGGTCACGCTTCGCAAGACGAGAGTCGCGTTCTAATGCGACGGAAGAGATAGCAGCGTGCATTTCGGCTGCCTCAGCCGCCTCTTTCTGGAGGGTCTGCTCGTGCGTCTGGGCCTTGAGATTAATAATCTCAATATCTCTTTGTCGCATGCGCTGATCCTCTTAATTTGATGTTAGCGACTTATGCTTTCATTGAACTTCTTATGGATGATTGGTACACACACCTTGTAACTCTGCCAATCCTATCCTGAACTGGTTTCGCTCTTCTAGCACCTGTTTCCGACCTCGCTCAATGAAAGCATCGAAGCGAGCGGTGAACTGAGCCATGCGGTTACGCAAGTCCTCAAATCCGAAATTGATGCTAGGTAGCGTGTCTGCCATCGATGGTGCATCTGCTGTTGCGAGTGGCGGTCGCACACCACTCGTCGAAAGTGAAGGTTCGAACGAAGACGACATTGTGAGCAGGATGTCTGAGAGTGTAAATTCGCCGTATATATTCTCAAGTCGACGCAGCAGTCCAGAGAAAAATACTTAATGTGCTTGATAAGTCAAGAACCATATCCGTGTCGCGTTTATTGAGAAGTGACTCTATCTAGTCATGAGCGGGGACGCTACTGATGTTTGTTGTTGCGGCGCAACTGCCGAAGCTAACGGCGCTTGGCAACATCTAGTAAAAAAGTCCAAAAATTGCTGGACTGGACACTCTTATCCTGACTCCCTCTCCATTCGAATAGCAAGGCAGCCATCACTTTCACCATCAAAGATTGTCTATGTTGACATGGTGACGAGTCATCTTGGTTCTATCTCCACACAAGATCAATGCAAATTTAGTTCTTTGGAGCAGACACGATCTCGGCCATTGACAGTTCGACATGCTCACCCTGTTGATTATCGGATATATCAGTAAGAGTACAGAAACGCCTAATGGATGAATATTCCACTAGTGCTCTACATTATGGGCACTTGGGAAGAGCGATTTATCAGCCGGAAGCACGTGCTTGGACATTTTCTAGAACGCTTGCCCGGTGTAAGTGAAATCTTTTTAAAGAGAAAGGTCATGAAGAATACCTTGGGCTTGCAGTGTACTAACTCAGTAGCAAGCATCTCTCCTCGTTTATACAGGAGTTACGAAGACTACCATTGTTTCACCATTGACGGCGCCACAGTCATCACTCATAGAGGATAGAAGCTTGTTACCTAGAGTGCACCCTGAATTAGCCGCTTGTTGGCCCTTAGTCGATAATGAGACAGCCTCCCACATTATTACAACGGCAGGTGAATTATGCGACCCTTTGGTATCCTCTCTTTTCGACTTGGGGAATGCAGTGGATATCGAGAATCATGAATCAGGCAATCGAGTAGTGCCGATCGCCATCACTGTTGGGGGAGAATGTTGCAATGTCATATCATTCCGAAAGATAGAAGAAGGTACTGCTGAACTGAAGCACGGAATGAAAGCTCGAATCCGGATCCCGATGATTGGAGACGCTGAGTGTACCGAATGGTCCGCAGGAGGTGCCCCCGTCCGCCAAATATGTTTTGCGCGGACGGTAGAAGAGAAGCCGACATGGGCCGCCGCTCGCTTTCCTCATTCAACGATTGTGTTTAGACCTCTGTATCGTAGGAAGCCGGTTTCTGTGCACATCTACCAGGATGGTGACCGTGTTGTCCCGAGCCATACACAGTCCTCCCGCCTTGACGCGAACCCATTGATCGAGATTTCGCACTCCCAAACCGGAGGTTATGCACATGCCGACGTCACTTTTAACCCCTGGTATCAGAAACAATTGGCCATTGTCGATGAGCGAGGAAATTGGAGCGTCTGGGAAATGGTAGGTCGACATAGACGAGGTAAGGGCAATTGGAAGGCTTCGTGCGTCAAGTCCGGCTCATTACCATGGCTTGACCTTGGCCATGCTCAGAATATCGACGGCTCTCCTCGACACGATGGATGGGCAGTAATCGAATGGGTGGGCGATGTCAACAGCTTCATTGTGTCGGATCGACGTTGTCCCATACTTTATCGGACAGAGGGTAATGAAACTCAACCTTCTGCGATAGAGCTTGAGCTCAAGAGGAAATCAGAATGGATTTTGGATGTCAAGAGAAGTGCTTGCAATGTGTCACAAGTGTTCATTCTCACAACATCACGTATATTTTGGCTTGATGTTTCATCCGTCCTTGCCGCAGACTCTCAAAATGATGCTTCAAGGCCGTCTCTGTTACCCATTCTGTCTTGGCGCCATTTCAGAGATTCGGAGGACACGACATTGCGTTTGTCTTCTCTTGTCGTTTCTGAAGGTATGCCTTTACTCTTGTCTTTCACAGTGATACGCTAACAATATGCTTTGAAGAATTGTATCTTGTCTTGTACTCTCGGCTTAATCACGTGGTATTGGCGTATCGAGTTCCAATTGCATGGGATGGATACATGCATCTAACATCTATATCGGACCCATTCGTTCTAGAGATCCCTCCCGTATCTGAAGAGAGCGCAGAGACTCAGATCTCACCAAATGCAGCTCAATTCTCAACTCTGGTTCTCCGAGAAATCGCACATGCACCCTCGGCCGGGAGCAAAGAGCAATATGATGCTGCCGCCAAAATCATAAAACTGTTCACAATAGACTCGCGTCTTGCGGTCCGGGAGTCGATATATATTGGCCCTGCGCGTGAGAATGGGGTTAGTGCAGATGACCAGCAGTTGGGAAAGGACGCCTTACGTTTAAGGAAGCGCTATCCCGGAGTTCGGAGAAAGCAGTCTACTCGCTCGCGGGATGACTTTGTGGTCGACGACTGGGATGAGTCGGTCGTGAGTAGGGGAACGTTCACTGTCGCAGATACGGGAATTTCTCATATAACGCCACTAGCCACTCCTCAATGGACAACTGATTATAGCTCGATCTACGCCATTGCCTTCGGGAAGATAATTGCGGGGTCAAGTGAAGTCGGCGAAGAACAAGACAGAGGCTTCCAAGATTCTATCAAAGAACTGAAGGACAGAATGGCCTCCGCAGACTTGACTCATCTTCCTAATAGTAAGACCATGTAGGTCCTGTCAACGCCGGATGTATGCTTTGTGATTTTATTACTGATACCTTAACAGGCTAGAAGTCCTTGCCGGAAGTCCCCTGCTAGACGACATCGACCAGAATGCTCATGATTATGATGGATTTCTTAACGAATTTCTGGCTCCGAGAATGTCTCGCAATCCCTTGACAAACAGTCAACTATCAATCTTTCCCCAACAGTCGTTGGACCTATTCGGATCCTCGAATGTGAAACTGGTCGACATCTACGATCGGTTAGTTAATGATTGGCTTTCAACCCTTCAGCACGACATCCCTGGGCGCTCGCGAATTATGAAAGAAAGGGTCATTCGCAAAGTGGCAGCAGAGCTTGCTCTGACGCAGCTCATTTTACGGCGTAAGCCGCTCAACGAAGCAGATATTGTGCGTTCGAGGGAAGACACGAATCGTGAAACAATTGATGACTCGTCGCCCGTGCCAGTCAATCCTCCTCTCGAAATCGGTAAACGACGCTTATCCGTACCGAGACTGATTTCTAGTGATTATACATTGGAGCCGGCAGCCAGCAAAACTACTATCCAGAGCAACTTTGTGGCAGAAGAGCAAGAAGTATCCAAGAGTACAAACGGAACGGAACCTGTCTACTGTGGACTAGCTTCTATGGCAACCTTCTACACCCAGCGTCCACCATCTGGAGCTATGACAAACTTGCTTTCTCATTGGCAAGTAGGTAGCGACCCGGCCGCGTATAGTTGGGAAAGGATGGCGCAGACGCTAGAGGAAGAGGATTTGCAACGTGCCTCTAAAGCCACAACACCGAAACGGCGCCTGCGGAAAAAGGCGTCGCAAGGCACTCCATTGAATTCATCACAGCTGCCTCCCGTATCCTCCAATGCCCTTGCCGCTCGAGAATGGGGTAGCCAGCCAGAGGTCGGCGAGCCGTCCAGAATGCTAAGATTACAGAGTAGTCAAGCAATCGAGGAGGATCTACCCATGACCCAGGTAGAAAGAGGTACGTTTGGAGGTCGAGAAGGCAGTCGGAAAACTTCCATGAAGGCGAGGAAAAAGAAAAGAGCAGCTGGCTTTTAAAGGACAAGTTGAGTCTAGAAAGTTCTGAAAGTAGAATATTCGCAGGGCCAGCTCAGGATCAAGAGTGACGAGAAGTGATTCCCACGGAGATGAATCGACCCTATCTGTTTACCGACGTTGCAGTTGGCGAGTGGCCACTCTACAGATTACTTTAGAGAACCACCAACTGAACAGTAGACCAATTTCCAAGGGAGTATTTTTACAGACTCTTCCGCATAGTATGAGTGATTTCTGCGTGATTCCCTCGATGGACGCCGAGCGATCGGTGGGGATGCTTATAAATAGACTCTTCATGTCTCTGTTTGAGGGGCAATGTCTTCTATAGAATCTCCTCATCATTTCAGACTGGTCTCAAGTGTGATCAGGATTAACTGATATTCTTCGTCTACCACTTTTGTGTAATTGCATATCCTTTTTTCGAACATTTCATCAACAGTGGTGTGCACGTGCTGTCCAGCCCCCCCATTACCCCTCTATCTTAAAAGCGGCTACGTATCAGCTCCGTTATCAATCTTCAATACCCCTCAACCTTCGACAGCACATTTGCTTTGACCCCCGGCTATTTGTCCATTAAATCCATCCTTCCAGGCCCAGGTCCTTCGTACACCATGTCTGAGCATCAGTACAAATTCAATGTCTCCATGAGCTGTGGTGGCTGCTCAGGCGCTGTGGAGCGCGTCTTGAAGAAGCTAGATGGTAAGAGCGACCCAAATAACACGGGTTGTTTGTCTTCCGGCAACTCCAATACAACCTCCCTCCTTCTCTTGCCCAGCGGCAAACTGATCCGTGCTTTTATGTCATTTGCAGGCGTCAAGGCTTTCGATGTGAACCTGGACTCGCAGACCGCCCTTGTCACGACAGAACCCACTGTTTCCTACGAGACTGTATTGGCAACGATCAAGAAGACAGGGAAGACGGTCAATTCTGGAGAGGCTGATGGAAACCCCATGGATGTTTGATTTCGGTGCAGCGCCCATCTCCGGTCCAATACTCTAGACAAATGAAGGCTGTGATCGATGTTGGTACAGGCCATAAGCTCATCAGCTGGGATTTTGATGCTCGTCAGAGCCGATAATGACTTGATCATATGGCGCAGATGGGCTTCATCAGGTCCATCTTTTCCCTTCTCACCATATTTCAAGATACCATGGCGATTGCATAGCGTGTTCGTTTTCTGGCTTGGTTTGTGCTTGGGGATCATAGTTGTCACATCCGATCGTTTTTCAAACGCTAGGCCCGTGTATTACTTGAACGGTTTCTCTATAGACTCCGATTTGCGAACATTTCAACACAACTAAGAGCATACCATCATTATGTTGTTACAATGGTGCCGCTGGGCTAGCATTGATGAAATCGTACATAATAATAAAGGACACAGAACCGGGTATCATTCGCATCAACACCGCACAGTTTGAGGGTGCATGGAACCATGCATGATAGAATAGACAGAGAGACACCCTCGCGATAAAGAACAATACAGCAGCAGCTAGACACCCCTTCCAATGTCTAATCCACGATAAGGACTGTTCGTCCTTCTGGAACGGGATAATGAAGCCTAGGGTCGCCTGACCTCCTGAAATATGCGGAATGTCGCTGTTCTCTGGGTTGTGGTAGGTTAAAACGAGCTTCCTGACTTGATCTACAGAAACATCAGCTCACAGTGTTTGGGACGAAGAGAAAGTCAAAAGGGAAGGTTGGTGAAATGTAGACAGGCATTTCCACCGCGAAAAGATTCTGGTCGAGATCATACCCTAACTGTTGCATTTGTTGTTCGCCACTTCTGCCATCCCGATCAAGTGCAAGAGAAGAACCGTATGTTTCATGTCGACTGTCGTAGCTAGGGCCCCAATCATCCACAAGGGCTTGATCATCAGCGCGTCGACTGGTTCCCGCGCCTCGACGATTTGGAGCTGTACGTGGTGGATTGACGAGTGCACTATATGGCAGATCAATAGATTCCCTGCTTGAGTCGTGTCGAAGGTGGTCATTAGTCGGCCCAGGAAGAGAATCCATAGGTCCAGTTGTTTGCATATGGCCGTGCTGGCGTTGGCTAACCAATCGTAGATCATCCCTATAATCAATAGGACGTACGAAGTCATCGGCATATATACTTCTTCTGGAGGCCCCATAAGGATCGGAGGTGTGATGATGACGGTGATGATGATGATGAAGCCCAAAACCCTGCGAAACTGGCATATAAGTCGCTTCTCTAGCTTCTTGATGGATTCGACGATCTTCATAAACACGTCCAGCTTCTGAAGCGGTGTCAGGCAGCTTTAAGACACCATTATAGCTCCCATTTGCAGGGGCAGTAGCATAGCCGGCACCTGATGAAACGTGAATCTGCCCAGGAGATCTGTTAAGAGGATACAGCTCCCGGTACTGCTCCAGCTGGTGCTTCGGCTGACGCTCCCAGGCCATTGATTTGCTTTTAAAGTTAGAATATTGCCGTTGATCAACCACAACTTCTGGGACGGGTTGTGCATAGTTAGAGGGGCCTTGGGATCCCCCTGGATAGCGCTCTGCAAGGTAAGAAGATTTGACGGGTACCATGTATCTCCTACGGATTGGAGCCCCACTCTGGGAAGTAAATGATCTTGGGGAGGCATTTCCCAGATAAACGTACTGCTGTTTCGCATGAGTATCCACAGTAACAATGGGTGCAACATCGCAGCGAGGCTCGATGTAAGTAGCAGGGTCGTGGTTGGCCACACGTCTCCTTTTCGACGCTGGAATCCTAACATCCGATTCTCCCTGAGGTAATGAATCCTGCGGAGCCGGGCGGCGAGGTGTTACCGAACGAATAGTGAATCCTCCAGATATCCTCCTGGTAAGTTGATCTAGGTGGGCACTTGGTGGACGCCTTATTTGCTGTGGCGAAGGCGGGGTCTCAATAGATTGCAATATGTGATCCTGCGGGTTCGGCTGCATTCCAAGACATGGAGGACCAGGGATCCTTGACATAGCTCCGGATGGGACTCTGCTCCGTCCTTGGATCTCCGTGGGACCACCGACGAAGACAGGGGTATTTGGAGAATTAAGCCGCTGGTCGAAACGCGCTCTCTGTTGATCAGCTGAAACGTGTTCCACTACAGTTCGATCCGCCAAGCGACTGGCATCGCTTCTCTGATTTGGTAAATGCAGAAGTGTTTCCCGATTGGATGGCTCATGAGATACCAGTGGAGGCCTTATGTGTGTCTTCTGTGTATCCTCGTGACCGGACCGCTCGGCATCTGTTCTCTGCAAACTTACACGATTCTCCATCAACGTCCGTGTCAGAGTTCTCCTTTGTCCGTGCTCGTGCTCAAGTATTTTTGTTTTAGATGCAATGTGCGGGTCAACAGAGACGTGGCGGAGTGTTGTTATGGGTCGATGAGAGGTAGCTCCTGGGTCAAATGTGATACTTTCCTGTACGCGCTGTCGTGGGGTCAACAAAGGCCCTCGATGGCCGGTGGAGTCTGTGTAAAACCTATGCTGGTAAGTCCCCTTTCTGTATCGGTTGAGGGCACGGTCCCAAGCATGGTATCTGCTGAAGCCACGGCGATCGACCCGCCGCTTTTTCGGCAATTCAGGAATGAAACGGAAACCAGGCGGAGGTTCATCGTCTGAGATGTCCAAATGGGATACCTGCACGGTTGGGTGAGCGAAGTTGACCGGCCTCGTCTCTAGTTCCTCGGCTCGTTGGTGGCTAGAGATGATTTCGATACTGTGATCTCGATTGACCGAACAAGAGACCTCTCCTTCCTCGGCATCACTGTCGTCATCATCGGATATCACAACAACCTCGCGGAAAACGTCCTCAAGAACCGTCTTTCCGTTTTCATCATCACCTCGCCATTCCACTAACTTAGCTAACGTGGGCTCTTCAACCGCGCTTCGGGCTTCGTGAAACGATGTAGTCTTCAGAAGACGATCATAATCAGTGTAGATATGCCTTATATGTGCAACGACAGCTAGTTGTGCCCGACGTGCTAGAGGTAATTCAACAGCTGTACCGACTTTGCGTTGGCCCTTGACTCAAATTCAGTAAACAATAGACGACACGTTGATTTCGCACCGGATTTGATCTTCATACCTTCTGGAACGCCGTCTTGATGATCTGATTCAGATCGTTGTCTGGAATATTTGGAAAGAGGTCTCTAAGCACGTCTCTAGCCTCGGTGTTGATTATAATTTGTGAAGCCTCAGAGTTAGCATGTTGGCTTTCCCCAGCAGCAGCGTTGCTGTGAACAGGCATTACATTCCCAGTTGCTGTGAGTTGTAAACCCAGGTCCATACACACGGTTGCGACAACAGCGCTTGGGAAATGATACCCAATGCGGTGCACATGTTGAGAAAGGTTGTGGGTGCGCATATGAGGAGTCGTCTAGTCGTTGATTATGAGAACGGGCCGAGAGCAGAGAGAAACAAAAAGACTGGGGATATGACAGCGGATACAGGGGGTCGCTAATAAGCATACCGTGACAGCATAGACTTTCAGACCATCTTTTCGGCATAATTCCTTACAAGCACCTGTGAGCTGGGGGTTGCCTGCGGGGATGAAAGTGTAGCCGGGTGGTGCTTTAGCTTCGAATGATATCTGTCTTTGTCGTCAAGCCCATTCCTCAACGTACTAAACAGGGAAGGGAGCATACAACACTCCGAAGCTTCTTTTTCTCCTGTGTGATAGATTCAAGGATCACCTTATGCTTTCGGAGAGTCCGCTTGGTGGTCCTACTTGGAAGACGCCTGGCTAAAGCCGAGGCAGGTCTCCGAAATACTCGGACCATATTGCGACTGAACGTCGGCTCCTTTTCAAAGACTACAGCAGACGGACAGCTTTCGATACTAAGAGCATCCTTTTAATCAAACGGTGAATGGACGATCGAATGGAAAAAGAACCCACTAGATGGATCATCGAGGGAAAGAAGGCAAAAGAACGAAACAAAGATGGAGAGAGAAAAGTTATTATGCTAGTTAATGCCGAATCTGTTAGTCAACCATGTCTACGCAAATGCGAGAGCATGAACCGCGAATCGCAGCTCAAAGGATGAGATAGGAGAAGGTTAAGCTTGTTCCTCTTCGGCCACTGGATATACCCAAGGCAGAAAAGCGAAGAAAGCAAATGATTTGAAAATCAAACTCGGTTCTCAAAACAGCGAGTTTGAGACCAGTATATGTATTTGGGGTAGTGTAGTTGGGTAGAGTGGTGAGATATAGAAAAGGTGGGAGGCGTCAACTGCATTTGCGGCCTAACACGCGGTAGGCGCCAAATCAAGTTAGCGCCCTCACCTGCCTGGCCCAACTTCATACTGCAAGTGAACCTTCTTGGAACAAATTCCATAGGCTGAGTTGATTTATCTGCTTTGCTTCTAGGGGATGGTCACCCTGAGAGTTGGGTACCAATGAGCTGTAAGGGGTTGCACTCAGATACAATCTCTTCGATTTCAGCACCTTTTTCAATCCCTTAAGCGCCTCATACACTTCAGGCAGTGAGTTGTGAAGTTGAGATTCCCAGCCTGTGATGGAACAGAGAGCAGTCATCCATGCTTATCGGCATCTCTACCGACAAGGCCTCAAGTTGCTTAATTATTCCGCTCCATCTCGGCATGTTCTACTTCGGACACTGCGATCAGCCTTTCGCTCTTCACCCGCTCGTGATTTCGATCCAAAGAAGGTAGCCAATACGTTGCGCTTCCTTCAGCGCGCATCCGATGTCGCCGGATTGGAACACAAAATCGTGAAGAATCTTCTGATGGTCCGATATTGGGAGCAACCGCAGGTGAAAAAAGACGTGAAACTGTAAGTCCCCTCCAGGCAGTCGCGGGGTCACCGGAGAAGCTGACTTTGTGCTTCATATACAGCTTAAGAGGACTAGGCAATGATCGAAATGAATTTACCATACGCAAAGATGCCAATGAGCTTTTCAATCGCACACTAATGCAACTGAATGAAAGCTTGGGGACGTGTCTCAGGTGATATTACAGTCGAGGAGATTGTTCATGGGATATGGCCAGTTTCGAGTGCGTTGGCTCCCGACAAAACGCTGGACTTCCCTCTGAATATGTTCAGATCGTGGTTCTTGCTGAACGTAACCGCCTGGGTTGAAACTGGTCTTGCCAACCCTTATTCGGCCTTGGACATCAAAACATGTTTATTTTCGACGATAATTCCACGTCTCGAAGAACTGAGAAATCTCCTAAAGGGGAATTATTTCAGTGTCGGAAGTAGAGGTTGGTATTTGCGACCAGAACCAGGGCTCACTTCCATGGGCATCACTCGGGTATGCTTGGTACTGACGCGAGATCTACCAACCCTATACTCTTCTCATAGAGGAACTGTTCACTATTATTCTGCCTGTAGATAGGTACTCTCAAACGTAGCGATACTTTGTATAACAGTAAATTTCCCCGA